ACCACACAATCCTCAAAGCTGAACATGAGATAACTGGGAAAGTGCATATTCAACAATTAACGCGAAGAGAAGGTCAACAATGGAGAAGGTGAGAGGGTGGCATGACTCTGCCTTGCGAGTGTGGTCATTCTTGCGTAATTTACCTCTTTTATTCATGTTAAATATATTGCTATATCTCCGGCTTAAATGTGCTCTTCAGAAACACCAATCATGTTGCTAATTGTCACGATGTGACAAGTTAGTGCAGATGTGTGGCTCGCATATTAGACCTTATAAATAAGGTAATCACATCATGATAAATCTACAATTTTAGGTATATCATTGAAGCAGTACTAATAACGAAGTATAACACAATTTTACAGTTACATGTACAGATAAAATAGTATTTCTGTCTACTAACCACCGTTTACGCGTGTCAATGAGTAGATTATGATACTGAAACAGGTCTATACCAATGATTGACATAGAAACATCCGCAACAACGAAGATTCAGTGAATGGATATGCGTAGACCCACGTTATGATTAACACACCTCTTACAATGTGTGGTGATTGGTTTCCCATTTGTCACCAGTAAGATGTAAATTGCTTCGTAAGATCGGTCGTAAGAATTTGCAGGAAGAACATCAATGAAGTTTCGTAATCACATTAATGATGCATAACAGACGGCCATGTTCGCGGGCTACGGTTCCCGATAACGCCTGCCAGATAAGAAGTTTCCTCAAAACATTTCTCGAGTTGGTTGGTTGGGAGCTCAGAAAATTGCAAGACTTCCTACAATTTCGAGATTTTCCTACCTGATTATGACACCAGCGCCAATCAGGGTTGTCCCCCAAGATTTGGAGACAGATCGTTTCCGTGAAGTACTCCCTCGAAGTGTTTGGGAGCGTCTACGGTCGCGAGAACTAAGATAACGTTTCAGAATATTACAGAGTTCTGCGACGTTATTTCGTGTCGGTTGAGGTTTTCCTTCGGATGAACAGACAGCTTTCTAAGTTTTGGTGATCTCCAGAATCGGTCGTCAGATGCAACCAGCTCGTCTACAACGTTATCTTGAGATGAGACAAGCGCTTCTTACACCTGTTGGGGAAACTTATACAAGAAATGCTGTCTAAAAAGGCCTTCGTGAAAGGTCCGTTGTACAATGACCTCTCTCATTCATAGCAACATGTTAGTTGCTGAGCCATGTTAAAGGCCAATGTTATTGAAGAGTTGTATAAAACAGTCTGCATGACGAAGTGGGCTTTTCAATGTTCGTCGACAAAGGCTTGCTGTTTGGATTGAAACCGATTCAGGTATGTTTAATTAGTGACTAATGCAGAAATAAAGTGTGGAGCCATGGTAAAATCTAACAGAGTGGAACAGGTTTGAAATAATAAAAGAAAGACTGACTTCTTAGGCGAGATAAACAACAATTTCAGAAAAGGTAAAGTGTCTATGTGCTCAAATATTTTTGCCACTGCAGCTATTTTCGTCCATAATAATAATAATAATAATAATAATAATAATAACTATTATTATTATCAAATGTCCAAATGCTTTAGCCTTAGCCTAAGAGTTTGGATTTGTAGGTCATTGGTCGTCTTATAATAGTGAAGTCAGATTAAAGACGAAAGCATAAGTATAAGCAGTAATAATCATAAGAGAATAACCACACTATCTCTGAATAATTTCCTTTAATTTATTCTTAATGAGCCTGAAATAAACGAAGTGTCCTGCTAAAAAAAATAATTGGCCAGAATCACTGCCTTCTCTATCAATTTTTACTGGTAAGTGACTTTATTTACCCTACCCCGTTGGTGTCACACCCATTTACATTAATGGTTTGATTATAATTACCGTACTCCAAGTTCTATATTCCAAACCCTGTCGGAAAATTTTATTTTTAGGAGCACTGTATTACAAGCGTATCGGGCAATTGAAACCTGAAGACAACGGGAAAATATCAGTGCTTTATCGCATATTGTCTCAGGAAAAAGCATAATTTTCCGAGCAAAACAAGTTAATAAAACTAGACAAATAGGTAGAAAAGCATAGAAACATAAAACCAAGAGTAAGACATTAAAACATATGTAGAAAATGGTAAGGTGATAGGTAGTAGACAAGAAGGGATACATTATTTTGGGGTTGAGATTTCTTGTGTACAATTAATGACTGATTCAAATTTTCCATCTTAGTAAGCTCGAATGGCAAAATATTTTATAAGGTTACGATGTGACGTATTTTTAAGGTCCAGTAAATGCAATAGCACAGGTAACTTAGCAGCACGTTGCAAATTTTAAGTAAAAAATCTGTTTATTTTAGTAATTCTGAAAAGAAATATGCAGTGTATAACAAAAAATATCATGTTGGAATTTTTAAATGTAAAATCCAAGCTACGGAAGCTATTATAGTGAACGAGAACACAAGTGGGTCAACCAAATGTGTTCGAGTACAAAATTACAGAGTCACTTAGTAAAATCTTTATTTGCAAAATATCAATGAATTGTCTCATACTTGATTGTTCCTTTGTTGCCACACCAATCATTGTCTGTTCTCGTCCTCTCCTCTTCAACTTTCTTAACTTTAGGCTGCCAGGTGTTTCACTTTAAGCTGATGATACATACCACTTATTTCTGTCGACATCACTAGCACACCACACTACTATAAAATGTAATACTGCGACAAACACACTAAATGGTTACGGGATGTCAGTCGGTTATCTAGTCACAGGGTTAGAAGTTGGATAATTCATGGTCGAATATAGCTCAGTTGAGGTAAGCGCTATTGAAGCTGCAATGATCTAAAAATTGTTTTGATTAGCAGCCTATGTGTTGTGACTATAAGCCCGGCTAATTATCACGTGATTTATCCGCCAATCAAAATGCGACTTATGCAATCTTAGTACTGTGCCAAACCAATGACGTTCGACCGGTATGAGCAGTCTAACGTCTTTATTGGTCCTTTGTTCTCATAGCTCTGCCGATTGAGACCAGAGCGCCAATATATATATATATATATATATATATATATATATATATATATATTAACATGTGTAGTCAGACAAAAATAAGCCACGAATATAAGATGGGTAGAATAAGCAATGCACACACTCATATGAAAAGTCAAGTTTGATAAGCGAATAAATGCCAAGGTCGAAACTTGACTCAAGAAGAATGCATAAATAGGTCTGTCTGGAAGCTATAATAACCTGTGTGCACTTTACATGGTACTGGACATTGCAATGAAAACATTACATTAGTGATGCTGAATTTCATTTGGGCACAACGACAGTAACTCAAGTAGTTTCAAGGTACTAGAAAATCGGCTTCATTGATTTGGACAAACACTACAAATTCGATTGCAGCGGTTTCCATATTGTGTATTATTTGAGGAAGCTGGGATGAGGTTGTAAAAGTGGATAGTTAGTTTACAAAATGGAGTAATTGAATGAAAACTTAATAAGACTGGAAAAGGTCGGTCGGTCAAGACTCCATGGTTCGGTCCTAGAGATGGTGTAGTTCAATGGCTTAAGACATTATCAAACTGCTCAGAACAAAAACTGATGGGATTAATCCTGTAAATTTCTTTTACTTTCAGTATAAAAGTGAGAGGAACATATTTAGCTGAAGGGATTCCTATTGTTTACATTTCCCCTTACAGAACTGTTCTTCCCATTATATACCACCTTCGTTCACTTATTCTTAATCATTTATTTATTTTGGGTTACACGCCTTTTTCTTCTATAATTAAAAAAATCATTATTAAAAAATTAATTTCTAATTTGTGTGGTGTATAATTAGTATAGTTGTATCAGTATTTACATGTCCTGAGTAAAAAATAAAACTGTCTTAAAAACTAAATAGATTAAATGTAATAATAATTTCACTTGCAGCATCTAATGATTGGTTCCCAATGTTGAACTGCTAAACAACTAGATTAGGTAGTGTTCTCCTATCACATTTCCATACTGAAAATTACAAATTCTAACATAACGACTATTCCATAACCTAATAAAATTCTGACAACAAGCTCGCTTTGCTACAGTGGTACTGCAATTTCAAAATACTGGGTGATTCATCACAGTGCCGAAGTCAAATTTATTGCTCAAACGTACTCTTAGCATCTATATAACAACAAGTAATTTTCCTTTAGTTGTAATATAAAGTGACTTAAGACTAGAAATCAGTTAGGCCAACCGTCTTCAAATTAAGGCAGAACGTGGTATCAAATGCAGAAAACGTATTTTATTATATTACTAGATTGTGAATAATTACGACCATTGCTTGAATCAATTATTTAGTGGTCTAAGGATTATTTTTCTAACCACTAAGTTGTAGGCACTGAACCTGCTTTAAACAGGCAACTAGTATCATTAGTACAAACACTAAATGTATGGTTAAAAATTAAGTACATAAACTTATACTCATTGAGTTACATTTAAATATCATTGAATATAACAGTTCGTCCACCAAACTGTTCCATATTTTACTAAATATATTACATTTGCTCGAAGTCCAGGAAAACAGACTGAGTGTAGTTAGTGGATTTCTGGATGCTTTTATTATTCAGAGATTTACTTTACGAGTCCGCACTTAGGTTGACGTGAATATCTAAAACTATATAGGCACATATAGTCTAACTACAAGAATTTCAAAGGTTATGAATGAAAACATGTATGAAATAGAATAAACTATCGAATACTTTTGACACACATGTTTCTGAAACGTCGTTTAATCTCTGTGTTATTAATAAGTGCATGAACACCTCTCGATAACTATGTTTACTCGCAGAACAGACGGATAACAATGGAATTCAGAACAAGAGTTTCGCCCTTATTCCGGACTCACCAGTTGTATACCCGTGCACCTAAATAATCACATCGGGGTTCGGACCTAGTTCCTTTAGCCCCGAACACCAAACGCGTTATCCACTGAGCTACTGAATTTGGACGGCGACTAGTTTTATCAAGATCTTACTAATTAACACGTGCAAAAATACCGAATAATCAAAGAAATTGAATTCGATTATTATCTTCTGATATATCTATAGAAATATGTGTGCAACACATAATGAAATTATGTAAATTTGTAGTTTAAACTATATTTAAATTTTTCGTTCCTAAAACATTCAATATATACATAACTATTTGTAAATCATCTAACAACTTTTAACAAAACTGATGTAAAGCTTAAAAATGTAGAAACGTTCAACTTTGAAGAAAAAACATGTGTACAGAAATAGTAAAAAAATAGAATTTATTACTAATATCTGAAAATACTATAGTGAGAATCACATTTGCTAGAAAAAAATTATCACATCAAGAGAATTCGAATCACAGTGTTTATCTAGCTTGGAAACAACAAGAGAACAGAGACGTACAAAAAAACATAGTTAAACATGAATAAGATCGGTTGAACTCATACCTATCAAATATTCCCTAACACGTTTCCATCTAGAATTATGTCGATTGGATGAAAAAAGATCTGCAGAATTCATATCTGATGTTGAATCAACAGAATTACTATCAGGAATAGTATGTTGTTCTTGTGATGAACCAGAATTTAACTCTGTATTATTTTGATGTGTCGATTTTTTCAATCTTTCATCTATCAACCAGAATTTCTGAATGATTGATTTTAAACACTGTACGTCATTTGATGAAGTGAATTGGATATGATCAATCCATTTCCAGGAATCACTGATGGAAATATCGAATGGCCGATTGTTGAGTGAATTATTCATATCACTTTCGGACTTATTATATGCATTTACTAATGAAAGCTCGTCATTAACAGAATTATCAATTATTTCCACGAATTTCGAGTCAAATCCGATGATATTGTCAATGAAACGCTTCAAAACTTCATTAGGAAAGTGTTCAAACCATGAGAAGTGAGAATTATTAATTTCATTTGTGATAACAGATGCGTAAACAATATTCTGAAATAGAAAATAGTACATATTTAGATGGTAAAGATATTCAGCGATACAGGTTACATTTAACTGAATTCAATAAAAAACAGTAACAAAGAACTACCTGATTAGTTTGTTGGTTGGTATTCGATGACTTAAAGAAGAAGTTCCATTTCATTAGTTGATTTACTTTGAAGTGAGAGACTGATTAAAATATATAAATATTAACACAAATTTGTTTTGATTGATGAACTCATTTACTAGGCAAAGATTCGTATAATACCCGGTTGTTCAAACTGAAGTAGATCGGACGGGGGATTCGAACCTATAACTTAACAATTGAAAGCTGAACACCACAAATGTATGGTATATCAAGCTATCTCGCTGGTTATCTTATTTATTGTTTTATTTTATACGACAGATTATTAGGGCATTAAGAAAGAATACAAATAGCAAAATTATGGACTCATAAAAAACAACCTAGATTCTAACTTAGTTGTATGTCAGTGACGAATTGTTAAATTCTACATCACATATCATAGAGGAAGAAAGGAAATTAATGAACAGAAGAACAAAGGAAAAGGTGGCAGGGAATGAAGGGTGTTTAATATCAATAAAACATTAAGAAGAAAAAGAATGAACTATCAGAATCAGTTTGTTAAATCAAAATACACAATCCCAACAGCTGTTGGTATATAATGTCGAGTCGAGGAAAATCAGGCATGCATCCAATTAAAAGCCTTGTACGGTATACACCTTTAAAAACCGTGTTTAGGACAGTACAACCTTCGTGTATAAAGAATTTTTCAAAATAAAATGGAAGTTGTACTGTTGAAATGCCCGAAGTGATAAAAACACTAAAAATACAATCATTGTTTACAAACACACACAAACCAAATAATACGCGACCACACATTCTGTTTATATTTTTCTTCTCAACTCATTTGATCAACACGACCAAGAATTTCACCTAAAACTTAAAGAGCTCATACAACTTACTCAATAATTGTCATGGATAATTTCAGTTGACTTACCGGATCTAATGATGCTGATATCCAAAGAAGTGTATCATTTACAATATGTGACTGAGCTGTAGAATAATTTTCATTATTGTGATTATAAATTTCAGTAGTAAACCAAGAGCGGATTGATAATTCTTCATTATCATAATAATTAGAATTTGAAACGTTTGACCGTACATATCTGAGTGCAATCGATCCCCAATAACGGAGTATCATAACGTCTACATTTTGATATTGTAAACGTAAACCAATTTCAGATGAAATATACGGTCTAGGAAAAATACAGGAAACAGTTATGAAATAACAGTAAAAAGAAATGTGTTGTTTTGGTCTTACACATGATGAACTAAATAACTAGAATCAGTAGTAGATTGGGAACCTGACAAATAAATTAGGCAATAAACGGATCCCTAAGGAGATCATGTGTATACAAATACTCCAAGTCTGAACAACGACTAAGGTTCAAATTATCAAACACACACATGTGCAACAATATGTGAAGATACAGTGAATGAAAAGGAGTTTGGATAGTTTAAACTAAAATGTATCGATATTTAATTCAGAAAAAGTCTAAAACATATTCTAAGAGCAACTTAAAATACTGTACAGTGAACGTAGTGATTCGGACTGGAGAATTAACTGAATGGTTGACAAGAGTTTAAAATTGTTCCAATAAACCAACAAAAGTGTATTAGACGCTCAAACAAACAGTTAAATGCAAGCAAATTATACAACCAGAGCTGAAATTTTTTATAGTCAATTCAAAACAAACCACCAGAATTGTATCAATTAGGTCAGAAATTAAACAAATGAACGGCGTTACAATTCGAGAAACGTTTAGTTTTACATTGAATTATATTAAGTTGGTATATTAACGAAAAAGAGTGCGCTTATTATCTGTCATATACTAGATAACAGAAGCAAAACGATGTAGATGAAAGCTGATTACTGATTTTGAAAAAAAGTATTGTACAATATCTTCACAAATAATAGTTAAGATAACAAACAAATCTGTAATAATGCACATACACTTACTCTCCATATTTACTTGGTATAATCATCTCTGCTGAGTTGTTTGTACCATGCAACAAACCTTTGCTAGTTTGAGCAATTAATTCCGCAGCTCCAGCAACAGGTTTAGTGACCACTCCGACAAGACCACGACCAAAACCACCAAGAGTAGATAACAAGAAATTCGGAGTTGATTGACTGTCAACAGATGAATTGAAAATACTATCTGAGGAAACAATTGTATTGTCCATTGTTTTAAAAATAGCTTGTAATGGTTGGTCAGCCACTCCGGCTATAGCACTCAATAAACACAAACCTAAACTGCTCAACCCTTGTTGAATTCCTTCACTAAATCCTTTAGGTGTATGATGTCGTCGAATATGATCTTGGTGTTGTTCATAATGAGGATCAAGAGAAAGATAATCTAAGTTTCTAGCTAAACTAGAAGCTATGCCACTGATAGACAACAATAATCCACTGAAATTAAATACAAAACAAAGTATAGTGTTGAAATTTAAAAGGATACATTCTAAGAGCATAAAATAATAAATCATACTTATTTTTAGTACTCAGTTGAAGTAGCAAAGTATTTTAATTAAAAAATGTTATGAGCAAAATGTAACAAATAGTTAAATGAACTAAATAAACAAACGTTTCGGTTCTAGTGAAATTTAACAAGTGAAAAAGTGTTGAAAATGGTGTAAATGTTCAAAACTGAATAAACTAATGTTCTATGAGGTTACAGTCTTCCTATTTAGTAAAGTATTGAAGAAAAGTAATATGAAGTTTAAAGTCCTAATGTCCGAATACATTGTGCATACGGTTTTATCAAGTAGAAGCTAAAACTGATAAGTTTGGTACTCGGAAAATGATTACCTAACTGTTTGCAAGTCTTACGAAACTGTCCTAAGTTGAGCCCCGAACGGAATACCGAAAGCAGAAAATATGGACAGAAGACTCGTTTAGCAAGTTAGTCTGTTTAGAGAAAAAAATGGTATTGATCAAGTTACGGATGCCATTGACGTTCTAGAAACACTAACATTTAACAAAAATAGGTAGTTATCCAAGCAATCCATTTCAAGAGATTTCCAAATGACACTGACTAGATAAAGTGGTTACAGTCTTTTTTCAGTTGTATATTATGTACAATACTGTTTTATTATCTGAGTTTGCGTGAGTGTTTAATAGACAAGCCAAGTACCATATCTCCAATGTATGTTTATGTTACATACAATTAAGAAAGTGTACAAAATCCTAGACTTCAGGTGGGAAAGCGGTGGACTAGTGGTTAAGACGTCCAACTTCCATTCACTAAATCGAACGTTCGAGACACCCCCAACCAGATTCGGTTTGGGAAACTGGGTAGTATCATTAGACCCCACACAGACTGTAGCTCATATACAAGTACCTAAAGAACAAGTTAATTATATCATATGATATATAATTGTAGCATACATTGAAAAATGTTAATAAAAATTGTTTATTTACCCAGTTGTTCGACGTGTAAGTGAACTAAGTCCTTGAGTAAGACGATATAAAAATCCAACATTTCGATTATATTTAAATGAAAATGTAGTCGAATCAGATGCAACAGTACCAATCGACATTGCCACAGTAGAAGATGGGAAATCAATATTTTGTTGACATATAAATAGATTTGTATCAGACATATTAATCATTGTAACATTTTCACCACCATTATTCTCTTCATCTTCATTTGATGAACGTAAATGTATTAAATCATTGAGACCATTAATCAGAGAATACAATAGACCAGTTACATTACCTAATAAATCTAAACTGCCAACTAACCAACCAGAGCGAAATAACATTTGAGTAATATAATGCATTGTTAATAAATATTTCACTGAATTCCAATAAATTAATGAACCAGATGAAATATTTGAATCATGTTGCTGATGATGATAATGACCGACATTATTATTATTATTATTAAGATACCCATTCTCAATATTAATCAGTTTAAATGAAGTGAAATGTAATGGAGCTGAATGACAAGATAAATACAAACGTAACATTGCATGTAAACTTAAATTAATTTTAAACGAATCAATTGTTAATTGTTTACATAAGAAATAAGTTTGATCCATTGGTTTCAATGATGAACTCAATAAATTATTATTAACTGATGTATTGAATTTAGTTAAAATCTGTATTAAATTATTAGATATTCTAAGAATATCATAAATCAATGAATCTTCTAGATAAACATCTAAATTAGGCGGATATAAGTAACAAGTAATGATTGAAGAAGAATTTGTCAATAAATTATTACATAATTTATTATTTAACATATAAACTGTTAATAATGATAATGAATTAAATATAATTTGACAAATAGTTTTTGATTTTTTCAATTGAATTGTTTGTAAAATTACTGGGAAATCATATTCATTAGTCCAAATATGACACCAATTATCTAATTGTAAATGTTTTAAATAAATTTCAATAATAAATTGTTTATTTATAATAAAATATTGATCATATAGTCGAATATTATTATTATTGTTATTGATCAATGTTGAATTATTTCTAAGTATAAAACTTAAATCGATAATTGTTAAACGTAGAAATTCATCTCGTGGTGGTAACAATTCATCAAATTTATATTTTGATATTAAATTATTAGATATTGATTTATTTTTTTGATTGATTTTTCGATTTTCTGTTGTTATCAAATGTATACAAAATTGATTGATAGTTAAATGAATTTTATTTAAATACTTTAATGAATTTATCAAAGATACTGTTGGTGATAGAAATTGGTCAATAGCTTTTCGATAAAAGCTATTATTATTATTATTATTATTATTATTATTATTATTATTATCAATTAACTGTATAATTAAACCAAATGAATTTTCATTAGTTGAAAAGTATAATTTAATCATTAAATGATCATTGATTAATTTTTCTTTTTCCCATAAACCTTTTGTTTTATAAATAGAAGAACATAATTCTTTAAGATTTATATGAATAGGATATTTTACATAATTAACACTATCATCATTCTGCTGTAGATTCAGATTTAATTCAAGCATAGTAAATTGAGATGGATGTAAAAAATTTAAACATATCCCTGCTGCATTATTATTATTAATGTTACGACCACGATTAACTTTATCCATGTATAATAATTCTAATAAACATTGTGGTATAATTGATAGTTGTGAATTGGCATAAATTTTATGAGGATACCAATTCGAAAATGTATTTTTCAAGATATTCCTCATTGAATCATTGAATAATTTTGTCGTGGATAAATGTTCAGCTGATGACGATAATAATTGATCTAATAGTTCAACAGAGTATACAGATGAATTAGTACAACTGTAAATATGTATTGAAAATGGATTTAAATTTTGTAAAATTGAATCCTTATCTACTTGTATGATTATTTGACCTGTAGATTTGTGTTCTATTGTAGTTATAAGTAGACTGGGGTATACATTGAAAGCTGAATCTGTAGATATAAAAACATAGAGTAAATAACTCATTTAAAACAATATAACTTAGTGTAATAAAATATCATCTATAACTAAGGTCGTCACTTTTTAATATCAGTTGAAATAAAGAGTTTACGTCTATGACTATTATAAAAAAAATAATAAACTCTTAAGTTCTTAGAAGTGTCAGTTTCTTTCAACAGGATAGTTTGATTGTAAAGCTCTCATTATTGTTGTAAATATCATAAGTGCATAACTCAAGTTAAAGGGTAGGTAGGATTTACAAAAAGATATAATCAGTATTCACTTATTATCATTGCCTTTTTAAATGGTATTTACTTGAATTTGACATCTCTATTGCTTTGATGTTTGAAGACTTAAGACTTAAAATAAATGGTTAAAAAAAGTTGAAAAAGAAGTCGAACTTTGTATATAAAAATAATTCAACTGATTTCTAATGTGAAGATTGGTGTATATGGCTTGGGAACACGCTTCAACGGTAAAGGCTAGTAATACTAACCGGCTAGATCACCTTATAGGAAATATTTAATTTTAAGTAATATAAGGTAAGAGGGATTTTATCAACTCAGATTACTAAATGCATCAATAGAAAAATTAAACAAATCGGATATCTTGATAAAATCATTCAATACATACTTTCCGAAACTATTGGAATCGACACCTGACTAAGAAATATTGGCATAGAAGAGAATGAATTTCGATGAATTATATTATGAGAAATATTTGGTACTCTGTGAAGTGGAAATACTTCTGACCATTGTGATTGAACAACTGAAGCAAGTGTAATTTGCATACAATACAACAATTCTGTATTGAACAATGATTGGTCTATAGTATGACTTAAATTCCACCATAAAATAGGGATATTATCGCTATTTCCTTTTGAAATTTCAATAACTTCATTCAACTTCAATGCAGATATCTAAAATTTGTATTTTTGTATAGAAAAATAATTGAATGCAAAATAAAATTTACAATGTAAAGTAATTTTGCCTAATTTGCATTAAGGAAAAATGAACAAGATAACTACGGCGGAACTATAATTTGCGGATGAGCCAATCTGGTTTATGTTCGAATCTTTTAGATTTTGGCACAAAACTTATTTATTCATACGGTTGAATAGCATTTTGGCATTATATCCTAATCTTCCCTGCTAACTAACTCTATATCTTAATTCTAATTCCTTACAATAATTTCTAACCATCTGTTGACTCTAGTAAGTGGTTAAAATTTCTTAAGATCACCTTGGTATCACTCAAAAGTCGTTCATAAATTATAGTTTAATTTATTCATTGTTACATAGTTTTCAATAAGCGTAGTAAGGTTAGATATACTAAGGAAAAATCAGTACTTTTGAATTATGTGAAATTATAAAAATTGCTCAATTATAGATTGATATAAGTCAGAAAATGGTGACGAAATATAAAGGCATTAAATGAATGTTTTCTTTAATTTAGGAACTTTTGAACAAAGTAAAATTATAAACACACTATAACAGACTCATGTTATGTTTTATATATATATATATATATATATATATCTTCTGTGAACACAATACTGTACCTCCCTCCCTCTTTTTATTTTATTTATTTTAACATATAGGTATTGGTACAAAGAGGGACCAAATACATATGCGCCACACAGATCTCATTTGATATGTGTGAGGGCTGTGATACTTCCCGGGTGCCCAAACAGAAGCAGGTGGTTTTCTTAGGGGGCCACACCACGAGACTTTGACCTGAACGTCTGACCCACAAGGCAGTGGAGCATCGTAAGGAGATGCAGTCCCATGGTAGTCAGTGACCAACCATTGGTTCATACGCCATTTGTTCCTTCAGGATACTGGAGCCCATGTGCACCATTGATTTTGAGATCCGGTTAAAGCGCCGGACATTCGCTTTTCGTCCTCTCATTTTCGTGAACAACACCCCCGCCATGAGAAGGCAGTGAGTAGGACTTCCCTGGCAGAGGCTATATACGCGTGGCCATGTGGGAGCGTTTTGGGAGGGAGAGCGGACTCTCCCCACTCTCGGCCGTACCAGGGCATTTGGGGGCACTGTACCTCATCCCAAATTTCTGAATGGAAACAGCGAATAAAGTAAAACGTATGGCTTGAAATGAAATCCCCAAATAAAAATTCTGCTCTTATGTGCAACATTCACCCATTAAATAATTGGAAAAATGCTAGATATTGCAAATATATTGAACATTGAAGAGATGAGCTAAAAATTCGCTTACGCATATTCGTATCCCAATAATTCATCTACAACACACATCTATACGACCTTATTCTTCTTTTTAGACGTATGAATACTTATATGTGCTTGTCTAGTATTATATTAAATTTATGAATACATGAACTGAGTCAACAATTCATTCAGAGATTGATTGTTGAGTCAGTTCACATACTACACAATTAATTTATACATCCATCTATCCAGCATACAACACTACACACAATTTACACTTCTTATAATGTTATTCTTTTACGCGTGTGGTCTAGTAAATTATTTTGTCAGAAATAAACCTATTCTCAAAATATTTCGTATCCAATTTCTAATATCTCTGTGTCCAGAGAATCTCATTATACAATGAGATTATTCTAAAGAATATACGAAGTTAACTGGGATATAAATGATATAAGAATCAGATTACAACACAATAAAGAAAGTTTATAAATTTTACTTATCATTATAAATACATTACGATACAATTAATTGATTAGAACACCAGTAAACATGTCATGTCTTTCAATGATAACATCCATACTGATTGTAATGTTTATTCTATGGTTTTATTTACAATGTTTTTTTAATAAATCTACCTACCAGATAAACAAGTCAATGAAAAAAAAAAACAACAGGGTTAAATTTGCAAAAGTGTATTGATTATGAGTGCGATTTTTATTTATTTATTTATTCAATCATTAGACAATGTAAAAATCTATAAGTCTATTGGTATGAAATAAGGTAGAGTGCATAGAGGAGAACAATACATTGAAAACTATTTATCACTTACTGGAACAATAGATGAATTGTTTATTTCCGAATTGTTAACATGTTGTAAAGGGATAATAATTGGTTTAAATCTTACTGGAATATAATCAGTAGGCCAGTGCCGAATAAAAAATCTTGGTTTAATTGTAATAATGAAATTATTTGATCTAGTCAAAGCACAATCTTCATCATTACCATCAATATCATTATGCATTTGATTGCTTGATTTCAATTCAACTGTCAAACATAACATCTTATTCTTAATTAAAATATTAATACTTATTGTACTATAAGAATTTGAAAAAGATAAACATTTAGGTTGATTGCTCCATAAGAACAAATCTACGTATTTATCAATATTCTTTTTTCGGTTATCCTCTACTGATTCATTCGATGAATTTAATTGTTGTATGGTTATTGATTCAGACCAAAATATTTCATTATTAAATAAAACACCTAATTGAAAATGACGCTGCACCGGAAAAAGAGAAAAAAATAGTGAATGAAAAAGAGCACATAACAATAAATTAAATAAAAGCTATAGAGTTGACACAGGAGCTGATGAATGCCTAGGAATATCCCCTGAAAAAGTCTCGAGAAGCTCAGAAGACTGAAAACGTTCCATTCAGTCAACATTCAATAGAAATGTTATAGAAACATGAATGATAATGAGTCATATTTTAACTAAATAACTACGAATTTTGTTACTGAAAGTAGTATGTTTTCAGAAGTTTCTGAAAGACGAAAGTCATCCATTTTTGCACATAAATTTACCCTGAAGCAAAGCTTTAACTGATACTCCGCCTTTATTTCTCTATTGTTCATGTTACGGTGTAGATTGAGTCTGATGATATAGGAAGCGGGTAGGAAGTTACTAACTAGAGTTTAACCAGAAAACTTGGCAGAAATAAAACACTAATGAATAACTCAAATAAAGTAAATTGTGGTGTATGGAAGAACGGAGTGGATATTTGAGAAGTTAGGGTTCTTAGGATTATTTAAAGGAAAACTATTATATATTATTTTCATAGTATAACTTAAATTATTATATTTTTATATTCCTCGTACCAAAAGATTATGTTAAAGATATAAACTGTTGTTATAAGTTTCACCTGCCTATAATTATCTTTCATTGATTATTCATCTCCCGCAACGTTCTTTATCACTTATGCTTTGGTTGTGTACAAATTTTGGCTTCTTACCTGCTGTGCGTTGTAGACTGATAATTAATGTATACAATCCTATGGATAGGAGTATTATCTGATTGTTGTGTTTGGACTTCTAACAGATTGCCGGGATAGAAGTGAGTTTCGTTCTGGATCACGATGAATAGAGATCTTCGTGGTCACTTACAAGGTTACTTATACCTGGCCAAAGCCTGTCATTGGTTAAAGTGAAGCTATGTGTCATTAGTGGACTCTATTACCAAATGGATTGACCATGAGAGCCCAGTAGACTTAGGAACTTCTGGATTGACATACATGTAAGGTAAAATTCCCAAACAAGGTAATCTTTAGAATAAAGTCGTTTCCAAAAGAATATGTTAAAAATATGTGGACGGCTAACAAATTCCAAGAATATATATATATATATATATATATATATATATATATATATATAAATGATATAGAGTAGTGAAGCTTCAAAAAATTTAAAGTGAATAAAAGTGAGATTCTTCCACATTACGTTCTAATTCGAGAATGTGAGATGAAAAATACGATGTGATTATGAAACTGAATTTACTGAGATATACTGAAATTATGAACAGTAAAGTAACCTAATTCGATATGTCATAACATTCGTTCCATCATTAGTTTTTTACTTATTTTCTAATGAGTATCTAGTAATTAAACAACTTTGATATGAAATCAAATATATAAATCGCAATAGAATAATAGTTCTGTGTATACAGATATCCATTTAGTTAGGACTCAGAGGTTGAATTTTGCGAGCAATATCATGTGATCCATCGATTTCGAAATCTTGTCAGTTATTTATTTTGCAATAAAATATCGCTGGGATACATGTACAATACTGGATGTGATAAGAATGAATTACAAAAAGATTAAGGACGAGCAAACAATCATATAATGTTAGTTGTTGTAACAAATTCATCAATCCAAAACTTTAAAAAACAACTGTATTCAAACAAGATGGAGATAACCAACAGATAATTAAATGTTGTTCTTGTTGCAGTACTAAACAATAAGTCAGCTTGTAATTTCAAATCCCATTTGATTCGCCTAGTCTTTGATAGATAAGTAGTATAACTACTCACACCTTAGAGTTTTTAACCACTAAAGTCTATACTTTCGAGAACCTTAACTCGTGGTTTAAAACTTTGCTATAAAAATCAGGCTTATAACCAGTGACCGTTTTTGTGAGTGAATACAATGTCTAGATCTATTTGCGCTCAGGTCCTTTCCTAATTCAATCCTAAAATGTAGACATCACTATAAATAAGAAAAAAGATGGTGACTTCGTGAGTATAACAAATAACCCAGTTATCCTAATAAGTATATTCTAAAAAATTGTCAATTGGCTTAACTCCCTAAACATTTTAGATAATACTCACTTGAGTTTTCGATAAGACCAAACATTTATTATCTTGAAGGGGTATTGCACAGTTGTTGTCAGTATACGAGGAGAAATCATTACTCAAAGATGAAAATTTCAAATATAAATCAATTCCTGTACAATTTATTAATAATAATTGTGAACGTAAAACAATTCTCAGACTGTACTGTAAAAAACTTGAGTTAATTAATTTTCTTTCATTATCATTACGTAAATAATCCAAGTAATCATCTATGGAATAATTGACAAATGAGAATTTAGGTATAATGCCTAATGTTGATATAATCGGTAATGAATTATTTAACTGTGTAGATTTTGTTAAGAAAATTTCATCTGAATTATTGTTGTTATTATTATTATGTTTCAGTATTGAATGATTGTAATTTATATAAGTAGTAGCTAACTTTTTCAAAATTTCATGACCAGTTAAACGTATTGGGTGTGAGAATACTGATTCACCATTTCTACAGAGAAGAAAAAATAACAGGTAATTGTGAGTAGCTAGCAAAAAATTGACAAAAACAATACATTTTTCACTATAACTTCAAGTAATCAAAGTGGTCTATGCCGTTAATTAACGTGGAAATTTCGGGTGAATTATTGAAACACATTTTAATTTAGGTAAGTTCATAGCTCAGCAATTATAAACTATTAGTATGAGGGATTTATAGATTGTAGTATTTTCACAATTGAAATCACGAACTGATCTTAGATAGACCGATAATGAAAACCTGAAAGCACCGAACGGGTGTTTCGTGCTAGTATGGAACTTTTCAGCAGTGCGTATCCACAACCCTAATACCACCGGATGCCAATACAGTGGTCTACAGGCTAAGCGTTAGCGCCTGAGACCGAAAGTCTTGAGGTTTGATTCTCATGTGCAGAGCCATCAATGCACGGTGATGAGGAGAACCGTACTAAGACGAAACGGGCGTCCAAAGCTCCCAGTTTTTCAATGGTGGCTTAGCTAAAATCAGTTCATGATTTAACTGTGATAATTCTACAATCTCCGAAATTCCCTAATACTAATTACACACATCACCATAAACGTTTATTTGCTGAAGTAAAGTATGAGGATATTCATTCAAACATAACCATTTATATGCAGACAGTTGTGTATCATATAATAAGTATAACTAAAATGTCCGTTATAAGCAACATACGACCTAAAACATATATGTCGGTTCGAGTTGACACATCACGGTGAGATGAATGCCGGAGTACTAATGGTAGTAATATCAATGATAGTAAAACATCGTAGACATAGATAGTATGGCTTGAAACGAAAAAAATGAACCGGTAGAATCAAAGGTATAAAATAATTTTTGAACTCAAGATCTAAGAGAACATAATTGGTGAATGAATTTGTGCCACTGGGACCATTGGTTATAACGATTATACGGACCTCGACTAGATGGTCTCTACCTACCTACATTGATACGTTCAACAGACATTGACTTCGTGGACTGATATCATATTTTCATCTGGCTGTCTATAGCTTTCTTCCAACTCACTCATATATTGTCCAATGTCATGTGATGAGGTAGATGGTGGTTGGTAATACATGTCCCTACTCCTTCAACCGATGGTGATCGACCACCTTGTCAATCGATTTGTTATCCTTACTTATTATTACGTGTCTAACTTCAGAGTTTCTAACTCGATGGTTTCAACATAAATGAGCAATATTTTGAAGGCAATTATAATCAAATACTAGTAACATAAAGAAATCCTTTATTTTTTAACGCTAGGTTTTACAACCATGAAGTGGGACAGAGCGAACTTCCGTGCAATTTATCATTATAAGTTAATGATGAAATAAATGATACGGCAATTGGTCTAGGATGAGGTGAATTATTTATAAAATAAAAAGAACATTTTAAAATATATTCTTACGGTAGAGTGCCTGTTAAAAGTAGATTATAATGATAAGCCAATCGAATAGGCTTAGCTAATACATGAAGGTATGAAATTGACAAATCTCGTATATTTTTATTATGTTGACATGTCAACCAGTTTTCATGACTAAATAATGCAGGTGAAATAATTTCAAGTGATGATGAGTTTGTATTGATTATTTGCTGAGGGCTAATTGCTTTACTCTCCAATTTTAGTGAAATTGGTATACAATTCAAAATCTCGAATAATGGTGATACAGTGATCTGAATTTAAAAGAGAAACATACATAGTTCACTGATTATAACATTAGAAATTTATGTTGAAGTAAATAACATGAAAATGTTTTTACTGTTCATATACAAATTGACGAAGAAGAGCTTGAATAGTTACTTATACTACATCTATAACCTTCAGTAAACTGTTTTAAATCAGAGACTAGTTACAATTATTGTAGAATATCTAACATTGTTGCAAGAAAAGACGGTCCAATTAAGACCAGTAATTTTCAATGTATACAACTGTATTTACAGCCTAAATAAAGAAAATTGATCAATAAATAGAGTTATAGCTACCAAAATATTGAAGAACAGAAGGAGGAAATTGTCAAGAGAGGAGATGGTCACATAAAATACTAAAAAGTGCAGCGGACAAATAGATAATAATAACCAATAAGTTATGAATTAAGAGTTGGTTTAAAAATATAACAACTGACAGTAAACCGAATCCCTCGCAAAATTAGTAAAAAGGTTCCAGAAACTATTAGACTTTATAGAGATCGAAGACCGAATAAAGTTAAACTCCCAAACACTGGACAGCTAATTTTTCCTAGTATGAGACTCCTTAGCAGTGTGCTTCATGACCCTTACCACTGGGAACCCAAACCAGGACCCTCAGTATCTCATGCGAGTACCTAACGCTTAGATCACTGAGCCGGCATCCAAAGGTGCCTAAGTTTAACGTCAATAAATTCGTGATATCTTCTGTGGTCACTGATGTGCAACTTCCTTACATCTATCATGGTTATAATTGCAATTGGATTGACAAAACTGTTGAACTCGATGGAAGTATAACACTTTGCACCCAAACAAAAGAATTCGAAATGAATTATCATAACGACCAAGTGTTGATTATAACACTATCTAAACATGAACAGAATGATGAGATGAGTGAGTCGTTTAGAAAACACCAAAGGAAATTGAATAAAAGGCACAGGTAGAGAACGTTACATAAATATGAATATAGAGACAAAATATTTGGAATGAGAAAATGGAAATCATAGATTGTGCAAACAATGTGGTATGTGTTTACGTCAATATGAAAAGTATTGTGGATCAAAATGAAATGATGATTAATGGAAAACTGTTGAAAATCAATTACTCAGTGAAAAGCAACTAAGAGAAAATGAGTGAGAACATCATTTCTGTAAAATCATTTGCAGTTTATTTATAGTTATGATTAAAATGAAATACCGGAAACAACTCTTCGAACATCAACATATAAAGTCTATGAAAATTCTATGGTCACAAAACCCAACAATGCCAATAATCTTGTATCCACTAGTAACTAGCTTTTGGATGTAATTCCTGGAGTTCTGGTAAGGAACCTCGACCAGTGGAATTCAACGATATAGGGCGTTAAACAATTATACTTCATACGCAGTGGAAAATGGTCATGCAATGTAGAAATCCCACACAAGGAAGGAACGACCCCCAGTGATTTTTGGTTTTCAACGGCGGTCTGACTTAGATTAACATTATTACAGCACTTTATAAATGGTAATGATAACAATAACAAAGAGAAAGAAGAAAAACAGAACGTAAATAATTCAAATCTTTCAAACAGTCACTTACTATGCAAATTGGTGGAGTAATAAAACTTGTAGTATAATATTCAACAGTAATGACAGCATAAAATATAGAGGAACCGGTCGATTTATTGTTTTCATTATTTAAGGTAAGCTGAACAGTAAAATAAAATCAGTATAAACAATTTTATTTTTAAAGTAAATACGTTAGTTCGAGTTATTGAGATTGGTTAACAGATGAATACATGGGAATGTATTACAATCGTCTAGAGTACTTTAAATAAACAACAGGAAATTATAAAACGTAACAACATGACTTGCTTCTAGTGAATACATTACAAATGCGGATACAAACATATCTGAATTTTAGTGCAAGGCATTTGTTTACTAGCCGCAACAAGAAAGTTCTATTAGGCAAATAGCCCAGAACACTCTTGTACAACAGTAAACACGAGATCACTCTCCATATCTCGGAGTGCTTTTAAACCCCAGTATGTTTATAATCTACTTCAGGAAAACTCTACACATTAGGTAACGAAAGTGTTTCAACAATATTGGAGCTAATAAAACAAAAAAATTAGTTTTTAAATAGAGTTTATATATGCAGAAAGCACATTCAGAGTAGTTAGGAAATGATTTGTTCTAAAGCAGAAGTGTATACAAGCTTCAAGATAATGAAAACAAAGGTGAGAGACCTAGTCTGGCAATTGATAGCTAAAGAAATCCTGACATCACTCCACTATCCCACAGATTAGAATGTGACTCCAAACAAGAGTGTAATGATCTCCTAAGAAGACCACCTGCTCTGGTTCAGCCACAGCTTTCATATTAACTAAAACAACCACAAAGAATCAAAATGAGCATTATGAATTATAGGGGATACTGACTAACGCTAACAAAATATAAATATTTTATTAAAAAAAGACTTAATGTTTTATTCCACATGCCATGACGTCTGTGTTGCGCTTTAGTTTCCACGATGCACCTTGTACTTCGACTAACAGTTTCTTTCTGTTGAACAATATATTTTATTTAAATAGTTTAGAATTTTCAAGTAGATGCTTTTTAAGAGACGTTTGCCGAATATATCTAATGTAGTTATTCTGAAACATGGAATTCTAATACTAGAAAGTTTCGCTGTCAAGGTGTACTGAAATTGAGTGTACCATAATTAAGCATCCAGTGAACAACTGCAGATCTGTTCGCTACTTGTAAATTGTCAGTAGTATGCCGTATCAGCATTTACTCGAAAATTCTTTATGCTATTGATATCCAGACTTATTGATGCTGGTATTACATTCACTGAAAGATACATTTTCGTATAAATATTACTGTATGTTAGAGTAAAGCCTGATGATGATCTAATTCAAAATAATTGTTCGCTTATATGTGTTGTTCTAATATTAATAGACTCAACAAATACTAACAGTTATTTATTTACCACCAGGCTAGAAGATTCAATAAGAGAATAACCGCGTCAGGCTGATATGAATGTTATCACAAATAACTGTACAAATTCGATGTTTTAACACAGAGCTGTTTACGTGGTCAATTAAGTCATGTCATTTATAAGCTAAATAGCAAAAACAGTTTTATGAAGTTTCGCTTACTCCACAATTTATATTTGACTACTTTATTGGTTGCCACACAGATACCTTTTACAACAACACAAAAATAGTAACCACATTTGTGCATTATCGAATTATCATAACATTATTCAATTTACAACAAATAATATAAATGAATTACTTGAATAAGAGTCCTATGACTTGTTTCTGTCTGTGAGTTCAGCTGATCAGGTAATGGTATTTTAAAATTTAGCGGATCTGACCACAATGTATTATTCTCTTGTATTTGATTATCAGAATGGAAATCATTATTTACTTTAAAATATATGCATAAATCACATCCAAGAGTACTTTTATAAACTGGTGAAATGTTAGCAGATGTTGAAATAAATTCTATGGTTGGACCAGTTGGTATTTTAAATAATTGTTGTGCGAATTGTGAGTTTGTATCGACAGTTTCATGGTGATTTGAAGCTTTAGATAAATCCTTGTTTACCGTCCCACTTGAGACTAAACGTTCTTTATCCAGGCTATTACTGGTTGAAGTACTTAGTGAACAAGTTAAGCATACAGGCAACAAGTTGCGTACAACGACATTAGAGTGTAAGATGATCTTTTTGTCATAAAAAAGAGGGGGAAAAGTGCATAAACATTTATCAAAATATTCATACAAACTAATTCATAAGTAGAATACAAACTATCACAAGAAACAGATCGATCATCGAGCTGATCAGATAGAAATAAGTAAATAATCCTGTGAACTCATCATACTAACTGACAATGAAGATATCTCGAGGATATAACCATGATAACACTAACGAAAAACATTCTTTTTTAGCGGTACGGCTTGTAATTTCTTAAACGATAAATAAATCAATTCAAAAGTGATTTTCGAGTGATCAATTAATAGGAAAGAAGGAGAAACAATATATACCACAATCTCCGAGACAGTTACGACGAGCGGGATGGACGAATAACCAGTGTCTTAATGTCACTAATTTTTGGATCTAACGCAGAAACTGGTAGATATATTATTTAGTTGTAATAATTTGTAGATAAGCATTAGTTTCCATTTAATTTTATGTATCCACATTGTCAGTCGGTTGATGGTTTTCATTTTCGATCCACACTTGGTTAGGATTTTTGAGTTGGCCCTATGAAAGCATTATCAGTTAGCCACCTTAGTTATTTCAGTAATTCATTAAAAGGATTAAGACCATATAGCAAAATTAAGTTCCATGGATTTTATCATTATTGCAAATAAAAATATTCTGTGATAAAAATAATAGATAGATAAAAAAGAGATTAGATGTACAGACTTATATACTTTAGTAAATTTAACAATGGTATATATTAGTACTGAATAATAAGCGTCGAATCAAAGTACCAAACGGTTATAAAACTGACCACTTTTTAAAACTTTCAGTGAACACAGAATAATAGACTATAAAATGCTCAGTCAATTGCTATCAATTTACAGCCTAACACAGATATTAATGGTTATATAACAAGTGTGAAGTGTCAGTAATACAAACGAAGATTTCATTTAGGGATCAGCCTAGGTGTTTATACCAGGTTTGAAAACTTAGTGGCACTGATTAATGACATTGGAAAGTGTTTTGATTTTTTATCTTTTAGTTTCTGTACTCTCTTAATAGATATGTGTTGACACTTGATGACGAAGAACTACGAAAAAGATTTTGAAATGAACAACGGATAAAAGTTGGATATAGAAGATTACTATTACATTGGTAATGCAAGAAATTCGACTGAGTACCGTTAGAAAGTCAATTCTCTATTTCAACATTCATTTGGATTTTTATCAGGCACAGAAATTATATTTCGCTGCTATGTAGTAGTATCAAACAAATAGTGCTTTCTAATATAGACTAGGTTATACATTGATACCGCCTTTTATGAAAACACCAAAAGTCCTCTAATATAACAACAGCCCTTCTTTTTTTACCATGTACGTAAGTCAAAAATCGCTAAAGTATTATAGTAAAGTATTTTTAACTCTCAGAGTTAATGTTAGACTTTGAAAATGTATAGAACATACTTATTAGTACGTCATTTCCAAATTACAAATACCTTTTATTTTATTCGTATTAACTTTAGGCTATTTTTGCCTGATATACTTCGTCATCAGCTAAATAACTGATGAAAATAATAAAAATTATTTCAGCGAATAAACTTTTCTTTGCAATGAAATTTTCTCAAGTTTTACAGTTTTGGTCACTGGAACGGTGTAGAACTAGCATGCATATCATATCAACAATAATAAAATTAGTAAATCAATAAAAGTATTTAAGAAGGTATGATTGAAATTAGTATCTCTAGACAACAATGATATGAAAATAATTAATAGAACCATAAAAATTGCATTAATACATTTTGTAGAAACGGATTGATTTACTTGAATCTAAGACACATTTCAAGTGTGAGAACTAGTGATACTACCCACTTATTTAAACCAAAATAAATGTCGTAAGGTTCGAATTTGTGATTTGCTGGCTGGAAGTCGAATATATTGACCATTAAGCTACTGCGTCATTTATTCATACAACAAGTATATTAGAACGAAATCTATTTAGTTGTTGAATGTGAAAGTATAACTAAGAAAAGAAAATAGATTCTTATGTGATAAGAATTTAAACTATTTAATTTATTAAACACCGATATTCAACTCAGGTGAATATACGACGTACTTTTCCAGGTAATCCACTGGGTTCAGTAGAACAGATAATTAAATAAAGTTCAGGAAATTGAAAAGTACCATTATTAATTTCAGTAGTCCACAGAGAAGTTTCCTCCCATTTTAAGGATAAAGCACATAAAATATCATTATGCTGTTTGTGCAGTGAAAGAGGCCACGGTAACTCAACTGGATGAGACCACAGAAATACCTATTAAACAGAAATAAGGTTAAGTTTTCACAATTATGTGATTAAGTAAACGGTTTGGACATTAAACATTTAGCTGAATGTTATTTCACAATATCAAAGCTCTTGCAACTTGATAATAGTATATATCCAAAAAAAACTTAAATTACAAATCATAATCGATGTGTTAGTGAAAGACATAACTGGTTAGCTAGTGGAGATAGATACATCCAATTATCCTAAATATATGAGAATATATAATGTTATAAATCTCTTTCACATATGATTTCTACTCGGAGTTCACCGTATGTTAACTGCCCACATTTTGTGTCAACAAATTATTTTCAAGTCTAACCTCGTTCTTCATCGTTGATCAGATGTGAAGTATCTGTTATCCAGCATACTGATCTATTATCTAATGTATCGACTGAGTTCAATATTCAGTCTAATTACCTAGTAGTTAACATCTAACGATACTACTGGTTACACATTATTCGGTAACTAGTTTCTAGCGTCCCAATGGTAAAATCGAAAGTACAAACCTTATTTTTGTCATTATACCAAATAATTTATTCAATGAAATTAATTACTAAGTATATATTTTCTTCATATCTAAAATTTCACTCGTATAAATTGTCTATAAAGAGTAAACTAATTAAACTTTGTCAAACAGATAAATTCATTACAAATACACTACACATCTTACGTTAATAAATCAAACAACTAGAAAAATAATTAAATATAAAAAAGGGTATTTTAAATTCAGGTTAACTAATCTAAGTAAAATTAAAAAATTCCATTTTTTAAAAAAAATACACAAATGCCTTGGTACAGCCAAGAGTTGGGAGAGTGAGCTCACCCTCTCGAAATGCTCTCACATGACCACGCGTATACAGCTACTGATAGGTAACTCCCATCCACTGCCTTCTCGAGAAGGGGGTGTTGTTTACGAAATTGAGAATGAAAAGCGAATGTCCGACGCTTTAAACGGGTTGGTGGTTATCGAAAGTCCACCAAGGGGAGTTGGAAAACCCTGACTACAAACCAATAGTGCACATGGGCTCCAGTATCCTGAAGGAACAAATGGCGTATGAACCAACCGTTGGTCACCGGCTACCATGGGACTGCATCTCCTAACGTTGCTCCACTGCCTTGTGGATCAAATCTTCAGGCCGAAGGCTCCGGGTGTGGCCCCCTAAGAAAACCACCTGCTCCTGTTTGGGCACCCGGGCAGAATCATAGCCCACACACAAATCAAGTGACTTGTGTGGCTCATATGTATTCGACGCCCCTTTGTAGCAACACTTACGTGTTCAAATACATAAATAAATGAAATCATGTTAATAATATCATGTACAAATTTAATGAGAATTAATCAGTTTAAACACTGAATAGATTTACTCAAATTCATGATTAGGCAAGAAAAGGAAAATCCCATTTTAGTAATAAACATATTTTTTGTTGTATCTCAATGAGCAGCAAATTTGTGTTTCCGACGTGTCTTCACTTAACATAAGGCACTTCTTCAGACTGAATAAATAATCGAGATAAATTAACATAAGTTCAAATAGTACGAAGGAAACAATGTAGAATATTTTTGGTACACTCAAAATCATAATAGGTCTGAATATGTCAATGTCAAGTTATTTTGGTCAAAGTGAATTTGTGTGACCTGTCATTGTATTAATTTGTATATCAGAGTGTGGGTATGAAATTAGGTACATATATGGAACATAAATAAGACGAAATGCGGTTATTTGGAAAAACAGTCCAGATTGGACGAATATTCAGACCGTTTTTCCGATTGAGGGCAGAGGGATTTAGCATTATGTGAAATGCTTCAGCTATTTGTCTTTCTTTATAGTTGGAAAAGCCCTTCTGAATTATTTTGATATTTTTTGTATTGATTTGGTGATTACTGAAAGTACCATGTACTGCTACCATGAGTTTGATTGTACTAAAAATATTCTTTAGTTTTGATAATGCAATGAGAAGACGAAGTTTATCAGAATTATGTGATATATTAGCGCAATACATTTCGAACAATGATTAGATCTATGGTGCTTCTGGCACCCAAAAAGCGAGTTTATATTACGTTGCCATTCAGAGGCGACACAAATAGTCTCATGTTGAAACGGAGACTTAAATTAGCCATCAACCGGACATTTTATGCAGCCCAACTTGTCATTATTGAAAAGACAAGGTCTATGTTTCACCAAAAGCCCAAACAGCACGTAAGCGATTGTGTCACATCCCATTGTGTCTATCAATTTACATGTATGTGTGGAAACACGTATATAGGGAGGAGCAATCGTGATTTGCAATTAAGGATGGGTGAACACATACCAAAATGGTTGCAAAAACAAATGGATTCCAATGGTCAAATAAGATCACAGGATAGACAGACATCATCCTCCATTGCGAAACATTTGATTGAGACGGGTCATAAGGTCGACATCAAATCAGCATTTGTAGTGTTATACAAAAGCCTTCAAGGACGTATACTAAGGTTTATTGAAGCCTTGGCTATACGGAAACTAAAACCCCCTTTATGTGTTCAAAAACAATTTGTCCTTACACTAAACCTACCCTGGTAATACTGATTTATTATCCAGAGTGGTAATCACATTTGTTTTGTGTACTTTAATATTTTTCCTTTGTCATGACTTACCCTTAACCTGTCTAGTTGACCTTTTATTTTTTATATATAAATGCTCTTAACAAGTATATGTGTGATCAGATTGTTCGAAATGTATTGCGCTAATGTATCACATAATTCTGATAAACTTCGTCTTCTCATTGCATTATCAAAATTTATCAAAGGGACTAACTGTTTTAAATTCTTTAGTTTCTTTTGTACTATTTACTTTGGTTATCTATTTATTCTGAAGAATTGACTTACGTTAAGTCACGAAATATAATTTTTCTACTCATTGGGATATAACAAAATAATGTATTTATGATTAATTTGCTACCAAATATTCAATTTCTTTGAAACTATCAAGTCCAACCTTGGTATTGATACCTATATTCCATCTTATTATTTCAACTGTACGAAGAGATATCATCATATGAAACAAAAACTCACCAGGAAAATGCAAAAAAACTCATTAAAAAAGAACTTGTTTTAACATCAAATATAACTATATATACAAACCTTATTATCTCCATTATTAGAAGTAATTCCAATTCGTAACTTTATACGAAATGCATGCCCAGAAGATGTAATTGGTCCAGGAAAAACAATCGGTCTCCAATATACAGACTGTCTAGGTTTAACGAATATATGAAATAATTCATTGAAGGAATTATCAACCTCTACAGGAGATTGGTTTGTTTTGTTTGCAGGCAGATATTTCACCAAAGGTAATTGATCTAGAACTATAAACTAATTGAAAAAAAACAGAAGAATCTATCAGAAAAATAAGTGGGAAAAAATGTTTTAAATGAAGAACACTACAAATAAGTCACATGTTAAGCATGAATATAGCATATACTGAAAGCAAAATGAGTTATTATGATTACAAAAATCAATTGGAGTCATAAAATATGATATGCGTATGGACAAAGACATACAAGAAATTATCATGTGCTCACTAATTTCGAGAGGAGTTCTACTGAGAAGCCGTGACCAGTGCAGCTCAACGGTGTTGGATGAGTGGCAGTTACCCACCAGGGACAATGAAAGATAGTTGCGCGATATCGTGGATTGACTGAAGTTAAGCATTGACACTGTTGAATGTCCGCCCAGTTGTGGGAATTATAAAAAAACACTTGTCACAATAATGGTATCCCGAAGGGATTAAAGAAGTGGTGGTGAAATTTTAGACAATTGTTAGCCAAAGAAAAAACAGCTTTTACAAGTGAATAGTTTGTGAAAAAGAAACCAGAAAATAGCAGTGTTAACAATTTTATATGACTGTTCAATCTATCAACATCTTCACGATGTTTTTATCTGTAAATCTAAAAACTAGCATCATATAAATTCGAGTATAGGGATATTGACTGTATATTTTCTCAAAAGGACGTAAAATGAGTTTTAAGAAACCCAAGATTATTCTTGGATAGGGTCAGGATTTGAGAATTCAAGTTAAGGACTTAGAAATAAGCACCTGTAATTGAGATTAGGATCAAGTATTTAAGGCTCAGATCAAGCAACAGCGTTTATTGGAATGTTATACCCGTTCTACATAGCAAGAAACGAGTATTTGAAAAAAATTAATCTATCGTTATCATTTACAACGTTTTTAACGCTTCACATTGTTATTTCTTCTGTTCTTTTTAAGTGATAAAAGACAAAAATCATTTGTTGTTCAGTTTCGCCAAAAAGAGTAACAATTGTTTATTTTTTATCAATATTAGATTGTTTCATCACTATACTAGACTTTTACCAATGAATTATACATCGATGACATGAAAGTTGACATTACAACATCTGCTTCTGTTAAAAATACTCATTAGTTAATAGAATGAAAGGTTCATTATAAAAATTAGTTAGATTAGTAAAAATCCTACCTGATTAGAATAATTTATTAATGTCCAACCTAAAGTAGAATTATTGTTTGATGTAGCATAATCACTGATAGAGGATTGATAATTTTTATGAAATAATTTATCTGTTTGAAAGAGAATATTTGCAAATTCACTAATATATTGTTGTATTCTTTTATTTAAAATAATCACACTTATTAAACGATCTGAACTAATGAAAATATTTAATGATTTGCAAAGAATATCAAGTTTTTGTTTAGATAAACAACAAATAAGATTGTTATTAATCACAGTTTGTTGCATTCTAGACCAATTTATATCAGCTGTCAATAAAGAAAATTGACCAATTTCAAATTGAATACTTTCATCAAAAGGATAGTGTATATTGTTGAAAGAAGATAAATTTGACTTATAAAGAAAACCTAAGTCTTTTAGATTACATCGACTCAATTCGAAACCGCCAACATTTTGATGTTCTGAAGTTTGCTGAAAAGAATAAAATGAAAGTTTAAATAACTTATTCCAAGTGTTTTAAAAAAAAATTTAGGAGAAATTAAACATCTAATAAAATATTTTATAATGGGCTAAGAGCATTGTTATTCAATCTCGGAAGGAATATATATACATATATATATCAACTATAACACAACATTGTTGGTGTTTCGTTCCCTGAGCTACAAGACTTATCCATGAAGCTTTCATAGTTCCTGTGACCAGTGTCATCACCACAAACTTTAGATATAAGCTTCCACACTACCTCAACCGTGACGCGTCATCTATGATCATAAAAACTAACTTCGGGTTCATTAAGTATATCCTCTAGTTGTAACCACCCATAAACTAATCACTTAGTTGCAAACGTAAAGTTAGGCATCAGGAAGTCAGGTAAGTAATTCAAGTACTCGGAATGTATTGATCAATTTTATTTAAGCATTACTTGCTTAGTAAAAGTGTTACTATTTACATAGTTTTCAATTATTTTGGAATACTTTCAGTTTTACAAGCGTAGCTATGAACTGATTTTTACTTAAAAATGTATCATCTTGACACAATGATAAACACGTTAAATTATGAATAAAGAAAAAGAAAGCCAACTAAGGCAATATGTTGACTAAATAATTCAGTGCTTCATTAAATTATTATTCGAATATCAACTAACAGTTTGATATTCTTATTTATTTATTTTATTTATTTTAACATATAAGTATAGGTACAGGGAGGCACCAAATACATATGCGCCACACAAATCTCAATTGATTTGTGTGAGGGCTGTGATACTTCCCGGGTGCCCAAACAGAAGCAGGTGGTTTCCTTAGGGGGCCACACCCCGAGCCTTTGACCTGAACGTCTGATCCACAAGGCAGTGGAGCATCGTAAGGAGATGCAGTCCCATGGTAGCCAGTGACCAACCATTGGTTCATACGCCATTTGTTCCTTCAGGATACTGGAGCCCATGTGCACCATTGATTTTGAGATCCGGTTAAAGCGCCGGACATTCGCTTTTCGTCCTCTTTATTTCGTGAACAACACCCCCGCCATGAGAAGGCAGTGAGTAGGACTTCTCTGGCAGAGACTATATACGCATGGCCATGTGAGAGTATTTCGAGAGGGAGAGCGGACTCTCCCCACTCTCGGCCGTACCAGGGCATTTGGGGGCATTGATATTCTACCTCATAAAATCTCATTTTATTGGTTTTACATTCTATGTGAACACCACACAGGAGATTCATTACAACTCGATTCATGTGTTGCTTTATCATCTAACACCATCACTTATTCGATCTCACGTTAACATGCCGTCAGATAAATCTTATATGTATTTTTACAATTTGTCAAGTTGGTCAACATGATATTAAAAGTTGAATAAATGGATGTGTCGTAGATTTCGGTTAATCTTAGTCATTTCAAAATACGAATCTTTAATGAGTTGAAAAAACGCTTAGTCTAAGTATGTAAATGAATAGACAAATATGCATTGCTAACAAGCACACATATGTATATAGAAAGGTAAATATACAAGAACTGATTAATTATGCCTATGGTCAGTAAGCTTAAAAACTAATTGTTTTTTTTTCAAATGTACCTAAAACACAAAATTACAAAGTACTCAATCCAAGTATATTAATTTGTGGTGCTTACTATATGCCATTTAAGTTTTATTATTTCTGGTGTAACCGATGTACGACAGTGATTATAGTAAAACGTTTGATAATTCTCTTCATCTTATGGGTAAATAAAATGTATTTTAATGATTTAAAGTTGAAAAACTCCCGACCGTAGCTGCTACCTTGACGTGGTGGTCGGGCTGGAACACATGTTCCTGCTGGTTCTACCATGCCAGGCAGGTCGATTGGAGAACGGTAAGACTAAAAGCAGCAACTCAAGGCCTGAGGGCGAAGTCGAACTGCTGACTGTACAGAGGTGTGACAGCATTAAGGTGTTTCCTTCTGACAACCAGCATCTACAGCGATGCTGCCTTCTCACAAGGAAGGAAGGGGTTAGAAAAGGTTGACCCTAAAAATGTCACACCTCACCTTACCCCACGGATTTCCGTCTCCCGCGGTAAGGCCCTGTGAAGAACGGAGCTAACACATTAAAAACCTCCCACGAAAAGACCGTGCGCGACCGGCCTCAAGCAGATGTCTCTTGGGCTCTGCGGTCACGCACCCAGGTCGTTAAGACCAACACTAATCTGATTTCCTTTTCAGGTTCCTCAAGAAATACCCTTCCACGGTGTGGGCAGCCGGGAAGTGACACCAGCCCTCATACCCGTAACAGCACACGAGACCAAGTTGGTCACATTCAAATCCTTCCTACACCTCCTAATAACTCTCTTATCTCCACGACCAACCCTTCACACGTCGCCCCGCTATTGCAAACGATTTGAGTACGCGGAATGTTATTCCTGGTCTCCTGAAACCACACTTTAAACTTCACGTAGGAGCTTTCAACATCCGAACACTGTGCCAAATAGGACAACAGGCTTCGTTAGCTAGGACTTTAGAATCTCGCTTCATCGATGTGTGCTGCGTCTCCGAAACGCGCACACAGGATCCGAGTAGTGTCATTCATTCGACCGCACCATATCAAAGTAACGAACAAACTCGATTTACGCTTCGTGTATCTGGAAGCTCTGATGCTACTTCCCGTGGCCTCACTGGCGTAGGTATAGCATTGAGTCCTAGGGCAGAACTAGCTCTCTTAGACTGGATCCCAGTAGACAGTCGTTTGTGCGCTGTCCGACTAAACGGAACAGTAAGGACTCGGAAAGATAGAGACACTCGTCGTTGCCTCTTCGTCGTCTCTGCTTACTCTCCCACTGACTGCAGCTCAGATGATGTAAAAGATGAGTTTTACAGAAAGCTTTCCGACCTTCTCCGAAAAGCTAGGCGTTCAGATGTAGTAATAGTGGCTGGGGATTTTAATGCTCAACTAGGTAAACTAAGCGAAAGACACCTGGGTGGATCTTATGGTGTCGCGGCTCAAAGAACAGATAACGGCGACCGTCTGTTGCAGCTATGTTCAGATAACCGCCTGTTCCTTGCAAACACTAACTTTAGGCATAAGGAAAAACATCTTTTAACATGGCGACCCCCTAATTCGTCTCAACGCTGGACCCAAATAGATCACATCGCTATCAGCCACCGATGGAGGGGCTCGATAGAAGACTGTCGCTCATTCTGGAGCACATGCTTAGACTCAGATCATGCTCTAGTGCGAGCACGTATTTGCCTACGTCTTACTGAACGTAGGAAAGATGATGCAAGGAAACCCCTTAGGGTCCTACCTAATGATAGTCAAGCTAAGAGTATATTTCAGGAACAACTAGAAAAACAGTTAGGCAGCCATGTGAGTAATGCCCACCCCGAGGCAGCGTGGAATGACATCCAAAAAGCTGTAGAAACAGCAGTTGAAAAAGCTATAAGAAATCTGGAGCGTCGGAGAGCAGCAGGCCCTGACAGGCTTACCTCTGAGACTCCAGTATTAGCAGCGAGATTGACTGAGGTCTTAGGTAGAATCTCGGAACTGGACGTAATCCCGTCGGACTGGTCTCAATCACTGATCGTGCCAGTTTATAGGAAAGGACAAAAGTCTTCTTGTGACAATCACAGAGGAATTAGTTTGACTAATATAGTGTCTAAAATATTAGCTTCAATAATTCTTCGACGTCTAACCAAAGCTCGTGAAGAGCAGACTAGAGAAAACCAAGCTGGTTTTCGACCTGGACGTGGTTGTATAGATCAGATATTCACACTACGTCAGGTCCTAGAACATAGACGCACATTCAGACGCCCCACAATGATAGTATTTCTCGACCTTAAGGCGGCATTTGACTCTGTTGATCGTGAGGTTCTATGGCAGTGTTTGTCAATGAAAGGAGTACCAAGGAAGTACATTAACCTTACAAAGGCTCTCTACTCGAACACAACTGGTCGAGTGAGAGCTTATGGCGAACTGTTATCAGAACTGATCACCTCAAGTGGTGTTCGTCAGGGCTGTCCACTCTCTACATTCTTGTTTAACTTTGTTATTGACGTCCATTTAGAGATGACACTTTCCTCATCTAAATTTCCAGGAGTTGAACTTCTACCGGGAGATCCACTTGTTGACTTAGAATATGCCGATGACATAGTTCTATTTAGTGAAGACGCGCGTTTACTGCGCAGTAGTTTGTTCCGTCCTACTTTATGGCAGTGAAACATGGCCGATAAGAGTAGAGGATATTCGTAGGTTACTAGTATTTGATCATAGGTGTCTTCGAAACATTGTTCGTATATCCTGGGACCACTGAGTAAGTAATGCAGTTGTTAGAAAAAACAGGTAATAGGTAAGGATGGCAAATTAATTCATGAAGTAGTGAAACTTAATCAGTTGAGATGACTGGGACATGGGTTGCGCATGCCAGACCACCGACCGCCGTGACATGCGATGCTTGATGGGGTAGGAGTAGGTTAGAAGAAAGGTAGGGGCGGCCAGACTAAAACATGACACGAATCCATGAAGTCACTGACAAGTGGACTGAGCCATGTTGGTAGGTGCAGACTACCTGGTTGGGGACCGCGAGATGATAGCAACCGATGGTTAGAGACCTTGAATGACATGGCTCCAAATCGTTTGCAATGAAGCAGGTGCATCCACTCTCTGTGTTCTTTCAAACTCTAATCTTCTGAGTTCTCCTTGTCTCTTTTTTCTCTTTCCAAATCTATTCCACTGGACTATACTCCTTAAATAACATCATCAAACCTTAGTGTTCTCTGTCACTACTTATACTTTCACTACCTCTACCACTATGGGATTCGAATCGATAACTGAATCTCCGTGCTAATGTGGTATGGCAACTCGAACTGATGTACATACGTACGAAGTTCCACTTGGTTTCTGAGTTGAAACGCTTTAAGAAATTATTTGACATAGCTTATTTACCCATAAGATAAACAAAAAAAAACTGATGTGTTACAAAATTATACCCAAATAACATGATACTACTATTTAATTTAATAAGTATAAATCTAAGTACGTGAACGCGAAGTCATTGTTACTTAATCGATAGTTTTAAAATAAATGTCATCATTCTATTATTTTCAAAGTTATTCTTTTACATATACGATTAAAAAACAAATGAAAAAGAATTATTCAAATTTACCCGCTAAAGTTCAACGATTCATTTACTACTGTAAAGAGAATCAATTTTTTATGAGAAAATCATTCTCAAAATATACACTAATACTGTGTCACTTTATTATTTATTTATTTTAACACATAGATATTGGTACAAAGAGGGACCAAATATATATGCGCCACACGAATCTCATTTGATATGTGTGAGGGCTGTGATACTTCCCGGGTGCCCAAACAGAAGCAGGTGGTTTCCTTAGGGGGCCACACCCCGAGCCTTCGACCTGAACGTCTGACCCACAAGGCAGTGGAGCATCGTAAGGAGATGCAGTCCCATGGTAGCCAGTGACCAACCATTGGTTCATACGCCATTTGTTCCTTCAGGATACTGGAGCCCATGTGCACCATTGATTTTGAGATCCGGTTAAAGCGCCGGACATTCGCTTTTCGTCCTCTTTATTTCGTGAACAACACCCCCGCCATGAGAAGGCAGTGAGTAGGACTTCTCTGGCAGAGGCTATATAGGCGTGGTCATGTGAGAGCGTTTGGAGAGGGAGAGCGGACTCTCCCCACTTTCGGCCGTACCAGGGCATATCATAATACCAAAGTAACAATGACTTTTTCTACAAATCTCAAATAATCCTACCTACTTAAACAATTAATTTTAATCTCTTGGTTGAGTCTTGGTATCCTAAGGATATTTCAAATTTCAATCATTTCATAATTATCAGTATAGGGTTGTGGAGATCGTTGGATTTTGACTGAGAACATGGATCGATCAATGTTAAGCCACGATTAAAAACCTGAAAGCACTGAGCGATTGCTTCGTACTAGTATGAGACTCCTCAGCAGTGCGCATCCACGGTTCTGCACGCGGAATATTTGAACCCAGGACCTTCTGTTTCGCGCGCAAACTATTAACCTTTAATGAGAAGCCGTGACCAGCGGAGCCCAACAGTTTCGGGTGTGTGGCAGCTACCCGCCGAAGACAGTGGAAGATGGTCGTGTAACATTGTGGATTGGTTGAAGTTAGACATTAACATCGTTGGATGCCGGCTCAGTGGTCTAGATGTTGAGTGCTTGCGAACGAGACCGAAGGTTTGGGGTTAAATTGCTGCATGTGGGGTCGTAGATACGCATTGCTGAAGAGTCCCGTACTAGGACGGCCGTTCAGTATCTCATAATTATGAATGAAATTTCAGAAAACGGCTTACTAGGATTATCATAACTTTCATATGAACGAATTAATTTGGACATAACTTACATGTTCAATTAAAGAGATTGTTATATTCGATATTTGACATCTAAATAAACAATCATGACCCATTATATAATTATTAGGGTAATGTATAGTATCAATTTGAACAGCACCAATTAAAACCATAGGTGTTAAGCATGCCAAAGCAATCGGATAGTTTTCATTGACTGATGGATTAGAACTAAATTCAATGTGAGAGTGAAGAAAAAACAAATTTATATTGACTGATTGTTGAGCAGTGACCAAAATCATATTTGTTTGGTGCTGACTGAATTCTATAGATCAAGTTAAAATGTGGCTATTAGTCTAGGTGGCACAATATCGTCTACGTTTAGATGTTAGGTCGTCGGGCGTATTCTAATGGGTTTCCTCTAGAATATCGCCAAACGTTAAACAACTTTCTGGCATGGAAATATAGATATATAGGTTTATAATTGAATATATTAGCGACTTGATATTGTGAATAAAAACTAAGTGTTGATTATTACTACTGGTTCGGCTGTTTACTACGACTGCAGAATAACTGGTACCTGCTACCTACTACAGAGAAACGAGGCTGCACTGCCGACGTAAGGAAGAAAACAATAGTGCAGAAGATTTATTTATTTATTAATCACTAATTAAACGACAACCACAATAATAATAAATTATATATCATTTTAAACTTTTGGTCAGTAAATAAAATTAGACGAACTGAACTGGCAGCCAATTTATGATATAATGTATGTTTATAATATGGGTAATCAATAAATTAAATATGACTGATAAATACATCTCATCCGAGAATGGTAAATGTGTTTCCTTTTTAACACTGTACGATAAAGATAAGCTGTACATATGGACATATTTTCTGAGTCAGACAGTAATTAGATTCTACAAGATCCCCACGATTATTTTATTTTATTTCATTTTATTTGAACACATAAATATTGGTACAAGGGGGCAACAAATATATATGCGCCACACGGTCGCCACGATACGATTTCCAAAAGCCAAGAAAAGGTTGCAAACATTTCGTCCAGTCAGCATACATAAAAAAGACTTATAGAAAATTGACGATTTGATGATCACATGCTCTGTTACTTGGTTTAACAGGTGTTTAGATACCTCAGGAGTTTAACGGTTATTCAATCAAGTTATAAATAATGTTATTCTCTATACTTGTATTATTATTATTATTTTAACACACAAGTATAGGTACAGGGAGGCACCAAATACATATGCGCCACACGAATCTCAATTGATATGTGTGAGGGCTGTGATACTGCCCGGGTGCCCAAACCGAAGCAGGTGGTTTTCTTAGGGGGCCACACCCCGAGCCTTTGACCTAAAGGTCTAACCCACAAGGCAGTGGAGCATCGTAAGGAGATGCAGTCCCATGGAAGCCGGTGACCAAGAGTTGGTTCAGACGCCATTTGTTCGCGCAGGATACTGGAGCCTATGTGCACCACTGGTTTGGGATCCGGTTATAGCGCCGGACGTTCGCTTTTCGTCCTCTCATTTTCGTAAACAACACCCCCGCCACGTGAAGGCAGTGAGTAGGACTTCGCTGGCAGAGGCTATATACGCGTGGCCGTGTGAGAGTATTTCGAGAGGGAGAGCGGACTCTCCTCACTCTCGGCCGTACCAGGGCATTTGGGGGCAGACCAGGGCATTTGGGGCAAAAGTTGAGACACAAATTTCATTCTTAATTCTCTAATTTCCTGTATTGTATGGGCTAGAGTTTAAGAGTGTTTGTGGAATCCAAGAGGCGACTAAGAAGTTAGTATCAGGCGTTTGAGTAGAAGACTATAAGATAGCTTAACTGAGCGATTTCACTTGAGATGTTGGACAAAATTAGTACCCACCAGTTAAACTATGCATTCATAAATTATAAATTAGTATAATAGTCACATAGAGTAACGTGGAATAAGGCAACAATAAAGTATTACTTTTGAAGTAATATGATAGCAAGTAACTGTTACAGTTTCAAAAAGAGTGTCAACCAATACATGAAGCACGCAACTTACGTAGTTGAACTAGTACGCACTCGTAAATCAACAAGAATTCTCCAAACAGCTGCTGCTGGTTGAGTTGGTGGCTCTGACGAATGCACCGATCCATCACCATAGGAACAGCTTAAATTAGATGATGAACGTGTGACTAGACTATGTGACTGTAAGACATGATTGTTTTCTCCTTTAAGGGAAGTAGGACCGGATGGTATGGGTCCGTAAGGACCTTGTTGATTATATTTTGATAACACATATTGATTTATTTGACTGTCGCTAAGAGAAAACATGCTATATGTTAGGAAATTTCCGCCATAATGGCAAAATGGGTCCCAGTATTGTAAATAACACTGAAGCTGAAGAAGAACACAGAATAAAAACACATAGGATCAGTGTTCTATCTAAAAAGCGTCTGGGATTTATTAAACATTTGTGAGACCATACTTTCTGACATGAGTTTTAAAGTTGGAAAGCGCTTACTTATTGTTGCGTACAGTTTCGTATTTCCTCGAACGCTCTCCCCAATAATTCGGTTGGTTTTATTAAAAATGATTAACTGACATTTTAAATTATCAACCCAGATAAGTATTCCTAAAATAAAACTCGTAAGCTTGTACTGATTAAGGCATCACCAGGATATATAAACTTCAACTCTAAATCTTAACAAAAGCGTGTGGCAGTCTTTTAGTTCATATTAGATTGCATTAATTTGTCTTATTGATATCCTCATTATTTACATCTTTTCATCATATGATTTTTTAAAATCTAAGATATAAAGGTGAGACCAACTATCCTGTTGTTATATTCTGAATGAGTTTTGGAAAAGAAGAATTCTACATAGGCAATTGATGTTTGAGTAGCAGATTATTAGTATACAGTCTATAAGGTTGAACTGAAGTGCAGCAGATAATCTGGTCATATCAAGCAGTAAGTCAAATCGTAGTATATCTAGGAAATTACAAACGGCGTACACGAAATATATTATTCAATGCATATTTATATTAGTGATTTTATTAATAACTAAAACAAAGTGCTTTATAATGTTTCAATAAAAAGTAATATTCTTTTATAACAAGAAATAAACTTGGTTATAAGTAAAAAAAGAACTCAAGAAATTTAACAATAAAATAAAATTTTCGGTTCAAACATACTTCTAATCCATTTGATGCATAATTATCATCCAATTTTGATGGAATCAATTCTAAAGGTACAGGAAGTACTTTTAAATAAGTCGGTGTACGTAATTCACTATACATCCATGTAATACCTAACCATTGTGGTTTTTGTAAATCATCCCTTTCTTCAATATTAATTTTATTGTTTAACAAATCATTATAAATTATTACTTCATTTGGTAATGGCCATGGATGATTTGTTAAAGGTGTTTGTTTCCAATTATTTTGATTTAATATCCATGGCCAATATGGATGAGAAGAGAATAATTCAAATTGACATGCATGTTTATTATGTTCTATGCTGTTCATTTGATTAGATGGTGATGATGATGTTACAGGTGGATAATTATATAAAATAAAATTCTCTTGATTACGTAAATCATCTAAATATATTATAGGATCATTATTTGAACAATGTACACATAAACTATTACATTCAATTGTATCTTCAACAGATATACTAGTAGATGTATCATTTAAACAACAATTTCCATTACATATTTCGATTGATTTTATAATAAACATTATTTTATTAATAATCATTTTAATATACTCATTGATATAACCAAATACAGGTAATTGGATGTATAAACCAGGATCCATTTGTAAATGTCCATAAACTTTATCAAATAAATAATTAGAATTTCTATCGAATTTATGAATACAATGTTTAATATGAATAGATAATCCAAATTGATAACTTGTATTAGGCCATATTAAATAATGAATAAAATTATGATTAGCTATATTACTTGTATTATTATCATTGAATAAATTATTATTATTATTATTATTATTATTATTATTATTATGATAATAGATTAAAGACAAAGACGATAATTTTTGCCAACAATGAGTTGTTGTAAATAATTTTGAATGAATAAGATTAAAGTGAATCAATGTTGAAATTTGTTTTAGTGTTAATTCTAGCATACTAGAAGAATTAATTATTTTCTCAATACTCTCATTAAACTGTAAATTAATCTAAAACAGAATAGAAATGAAAAATGAAAGGAGGGGGGTAAGTGGGAAAGAGGGAAAAGATTTACATGGGTGATTATAAGTAAGGATGAGTCAAATTAATTGTACGAATAATATTGGTAATAGTAATAATTAAGGATATTAGTTTACTGAATAAAATGAAGTTTTTATAGAACAAATGTGCAATTTTATAATGGAAAAATAATCACATTTGAGCTTGACATTCAAGACCCTAGACAACACTAAATAGTAGATAATCACCACAAAATAGGACTAGAAGGAACAAACACTGAAGTGGTATCCGACTAAATTAGTAGACTTAATTGATTATAATATTTAATCAAATGATACATCTGAACGAAAATGATCTGACTGACGAACAAGAATCAGAGGAAGGCAAGAATGTAAGTTTATTTACGCAGTCGATAAGTAGGAAATCAATTTTATATGGTCTCTTGTGCTTAGTGTAACCGGATACATTAGTCTTCGATCATTCATGAATTACGGTATACTTCCACCTGACATAGCACAACAGTTTTAATCTTTATAACTACTGAGAATAACAGTAATTTGGTGCCACAAATTAAATAAATAAGACAAATAAATTCTACAACCGGTTTGAAAAACAACAAACGATTACAGATATTACGTCACAGTTATCATCTAACTAATATGCTATTGGATGGATGTATCACATTTCCCAAGCGAAAGAAAGCATGCGTTTATGACGTGTCAATTACGGATAAAAAAATACATAACAAAGTTTCACATCGTTCACGATCCAATCACAAGCCAGAAAGATTTCCTAAGAGTTTAGCACTGAAGCAAAAAACCAATCAAAATCATTATAAGTATAAGGCTGTTCAGCTTGTAGAATTTTATTGAAATCATTGGCCGATCTAAGTTAAACAAACATCGAAAACCTGGAAGCACTAGATGACCTTTTCGTTCTAGTATGGCGCTTCCCAATAGCGCACACCCACGACCAGACACGCAGGAATCTAACCCCGAACTCGCGCGTAAACGCTTAACATATAGATCACTGCGCTGGCTTTAATGTCTAACCTAAATCAATCCATGATATTGCGCAACCTACTTACACTCTCTTCGGTGGGTAACTATTGCACAACCAATACTGTTGAGCTGCGCTGCTCACGGCTTCTTACTAGCACTCGGAAAATTACATTTTTTAGCGTTTACGCGCGAGACCGAAGGTCCTGTGTTCGGCTCTCGCGTCCACGTTGGTAGAGGTACACTACTGAAGAGTCCTGCATTAGGACGAAACCCCCGTCCAGTGCTTCAAAGTTTCCAATGTTGATCTAACTTAAACCGGTTCGTGATTTCAATTCACATGTTGTAGACTGTAGCAAAAAGTTAAAAACGAAACTAGTTTTCTAAAAACCAAACAAACGAATTACTTACCTTAATGCAATTAATTTCAACATTAATTTTTTCGAAATAAAAGTGTAAAATATGAATAATTCTAGCGATAGTGGTTAGCGATGATGGTTGGTTTACATAAGAAATACTAGAGGATTGACTACTTTCGCCACAAGACATTATACTATTGTGATTGATAGTAGTATTATTGCACTTATTTATTTCATTAGTAACGTTCTTATGATTCACTTCATATAACTGATGGAAGAATTTGCAAAAATGCAAAACAGACGAAATTGTATCTGGACGAACACAGAAGAAATGATCTTGTGCAGTCGAAACTTGTACTTTGAAACGGTTATGTTGAGATGGCAAAGGCTAGGTAAAATTATATAAAACATAATTAAAATACAATAATAATAATAATATAAACATGATATTGTGTTGACATGTATCATGGTGTCTAAAAATACGCTAAAAAGACCTTAGGTTATCTAGATTTTTATTAAAAAATGTCAGATCCCTCATGAAAGAGCGACCGCGATGACTCATATTTCTGCAATGATATTTGTTGTTATATGATTAGTTATTCTAACTTTCAATTTATTATTTCTGTTATATACCTGAAGGTTATGTTTTGCGACAGTATAATATTAAGCTTCTGCTGAACACTAAACTTCTTTCATTCAGTCGTATTGTAGTAAACGAAGACTTGGTGTGGAAAAATGATTTATTGTTTAAGGCCGAGTTATACAGTGGTAAAAGCAAATTATGAAAATTATTCATTACATACATCATTTGCACATCTTTGCGTTATCCTTTATATACTTTGTTATTCCTCTAATACTGTCGCTATCTCGATTGCTCTCCGATTTCCTTCCTGTTCTGTTCATTTCAATCTTCTGCAGACAAGCATTCCGCTTCCTATTAGTGCGACGTACTACGTGTATCCGTCAACATAAGTAGCATACACCACATTATGAATTATTATTGAAGTGTTCTGTTTCAGTCGTCCGGTCTATCGAGTCCGTGTAGATCTTGCTTCGTATTAGAGGAATATCCTGACTGTTCATAATTAGGACCTGCCGAAGGTCAACCGTTTTAACAAATTGATAGTCACTAACCTTTCAAAGTTGCTACTATTTATAAATAATGTATGTACATAACGTTTTTCAATAGACAACCATTAAAGATCTGAAATTTATTCATCTGAATAAACATTCGATGTACAAACAGTTTATGAATGATGCCATCTGGTATACAGTCAAAATGGTTGGGTTTATTGTTAAATAATAACATTAATAGTGAGAGATAAATAAGGTTTTAAATAGAATTAACAACTATTCATCGCCATATAACAATAAAATATTAGCGTAGCCTTTCCCTTTACTTCTTCATAAATGTTTTCAGCATATTCTAGACCACAGTGATATCTATCAGTATTGGGAATTTATAGAGATGATTGAATGTCATAATTTACATCACAAATCGAATTTAGTTAGAGAACCGACAGAAACCAAGACATACACGACAACCCTTACTTGTTATTATGGAACATATCAGTAGTGCGCACTCGACTTCACAGGTGATTGGACTGAAGACCTTTAGATCGTGGGCGGAGTTCTTTACTTTTTAGATCACAGACCCGGCATTTTATAGTTAACATCGCGGACTGACCCTAGTTAAACAACCATTCGCAACTATGCTAGGATCAGAATAGGACGAAACAGCTTCGTAATATTTTCTGATTTTCAGTGATTAGCTGATTAAGGTCAGTCTGTAATACTAACCATAACAATATCTATCAACATGAATAATTTGCTCGTTATTGACGAGCTGAAAAGTTATTCTATTATTGACGAAAAAAGTTCAAAGGTTTGGTGATAGTAACATAATCTCAATCTAAATCTTACTTCTGTGACTGTAGATAAAAAATCAAATCGAGAAGGTCGAACACATGTAAGTAGTATACACGGTTTCATAATATCAGTACGTGAATGCCCCATATTGGAACCTGAATACCAAAATATTGATGAACTACATATTGGTGAAGTGTTTGGTTTATTATCAGATAAAAGTTTCTTGTCCATTAAACATGGAAGAATAAAAACACCAGGTTGTCTATTACACTTTCCTCGAATAAATTTATTAATGACAACCGATTCACACATCGTACATGAGGATTTCAGTCCATTTCGCCGACAATCCATCTGTAAATTGTAATAATAATAATAATAATAATATCCTTAAGGGGGGGGGGAAATATTGGTTATGTTAAATCAACTTTATAAGAAGTATATCGGAAAAACCCATTTATCATTATCTGACATACATTTATAGCAAATACTGAGTGAAAAATTAAGCAATACTAAAACGTTTACCAAGTAAACAGGTTTGTGAAATCGATTAAGGGACGCGATGTTGTCAACCCTAGATGATGGTGAGGAAGAATTAAACATAACTGTCAATTATTAACTTTATTGGTGGTTAAATGGCCTTAAAAAGTTTCAATCAACTTCTAATAAAGTTTATTTATATACATAAATGTGTAATTTTACCACAAATATATCTTGTATGTTGAGCAGCTTTAATATCGGTTTGATATAAGACCGTATACAAGAATTAAAGCAAAATTTAAATTTTGTAAAATACTGCCATTCAAACTCGCATTGCGTAGATCCAAACAATCAATCGTAAGTTCATAAACCTAAAATATTTTCGATATAATCTGGATCTTTGAGTAACCGTTAGTTTACAAGAAGTTGGAAGCACATAAAAGTAAGTAAGAAACAGTCAGGGAGTCAGTTATACACAACGTAGAACCTGATACATATATGGACCTATTCAATTAACACGCCAAATCAGTACACTAAAATGAAATTATCAAGAGAAATCCCAGCGTAGAACATTTAGTAACATTATCGAGTAGTAGTAATAAAAATAGAAAAAATTAAGTATAGACAATATGCTTCAAGAATAGGTGAATTTGTGGGGAAAAAAAGAAGTATGAGATAATTTTTGAACTCATGATCTGAAGTAAAACAAAATGTGAGTATATTCAGGTAGCTCTTATCAATTCTGAATCCTAACATTCTATATCTCTAATTATTGATTATGGTAACCACTCACATAACAATCAAGTAGTTTGAACCTACACACAAGGCTCAGAACAACTATTGATGACGTAACAACACAACAATAATATTTTCAACTTCTTTCAGTTATTTCATATAAACAAGTCCCCGAAATATGAAAAGAAACAAAGTTGATGTAAATTCATTAAATGCTTACTTGAAAACTATTTACTGAAAACTCAAAACTATCGTAAATATTTGAATTTCCACCAGCTATATTTACAATCATACGAGGCTGATTAATTTGTACAGTAAATTCTGATGAACGATTATTTTCAATAGGTGTCCACATAAGAAATATAATTTGATGAGCAGTTATGAATAGACAACTGGGTGTACACAATAAGCAATTAGAATTATTTGATGGAAAAAACAATCGTTCAAATAGATTTACACATGGCGATTGGTGTGATGATGATTGTGAAATACGATTTGATGCACAAGAAGATGAAAACGAGGAACGGGGTATTAATTGGATAAGATGTTTAATCAGTTCACAGTCGGCCAGTACTAACAAATTATTCATTAGAGATAGCTCCATGGAATATCCTCCGTAAATATTCTACAATTTAAAAAACGAAAAACTGAAGAGGTAAAATTATGCTGATCAAAGTAAACTGTGACTTGTTGATGACTGAAAAATCTGGCTGCATTAAATATAAGAAAGTATTTTGATGTATAAGACTGATTTACCGTTTGTTCTGCGTTGAGTTCATGTGTTAACTTTTATGTTGTGTATTATTAATAAAGTCTCATTCTGACCTATAACTGGTTCTTGATCGTTATTTTGATACATGAATTGAGTAAATCATGTAGTCAAGTATCGTGATTTATTGAGTTGATTGACCTAACATCCAGTTTAAGGATTACTCTTAACGATCGAATTACCCATTATTATATAATTTTCAGACTATTATCTAGAATCTAGTATCTACTGTCAAGGACCAAGTGATCAAGTGTTGTATAGGATCACAAATGCACATGTTTTTCCGTTATACGCTACTTAATTCAGATACGTGGAAAAATTTACAAATCTAAGCATAGACTGTGGCCCGTATTCACTCAGTCATCTGTCGTTCAGCCACAGCTTTAATGTGCAGACTTATGAAAATACTTACCTGCTTAAACTCGAAATGGATATGAAATAGAGTTTGACTCCGAGACATAATAATTAAAAATTGGATGATTTAATCATTACGTCATCAACCCTTCATAATATGATGTTTATTTGAAGAATTTTGACAATTTTTTCTACTACAGCACTTTTAGTATAAAATTTAAACCAACATAAATAATGTTGCTGAAACAACGTAACTGAAGGTTAATCCTATTTCATCGATCGTAGGCAAATAGTTGCATACAACAAGAGTGACACATAATCTCTTGTTTTCAAATCAACAATATTCACTTACTGTATCACAATTTTCACTATTTTTTACAACAGCCGGTGCAAATGTAACAGAAACACTGAACGAATGTACAATAGACCAACCATAAGGAGGATCATCTCTATGAAAAAAAGAAAACAACACATGAACAAAAATTAATTTGATAAATAATAAATCAGTCTTACAAATGTAATAAATGTAACAATGAAACTTTAAATGAATGGCTTCAGATATAAACAACTACTTGTCATAACACTAAATATTACAAATTTCTATTCAAATATTTATTAAGCTAGGTATCACTATATATATATATATATATATATATATATATATATATATATACTTGTCATTGGGTGATTGTTGATTGGCTCAATGTATCAAGTTTCACATACCTATAGTTCATACCATAATGCTATGTCATAAACTGATGACGTAGCTAATGTCTCAAGATGGTAACACTAATTAACTTGTCATCTGTGCCATCCGAATACACATTGATGGGATTTGAGATTACTAAAATCCTGTTCCCATCGAATGTGACCGATCCTTCGAAGACAATGATCATCGAACACAGATACATATATAGATGGACACACATCTAGACATCAATTTGAACACTCTTTTAATATCGTTATCCTTCACACAATTAAACATTGCGTCTTACTGCCAATTACATAAAGGTGTGTGCTTGATAAGACATTTTTAATGAGAAAGCAAAAAAAATTAGCTTATGAATTATTACTTACACATCGCTATAAGTAGCTGTACGATTCCAATCTTTAGCAGGATTTTGAGCAATAGCATTAGAATTAGATGAATTATAATCCAGTACTTGTTTATCATGACACATACAATCAAATGGTACAGCTGTAATATTTATACAGTTAGCTATTACAATAAATTGTCTATCATTTCCAATAATAGATTGTTTTATTGGAAATGACTGATTCAAAGTGAAATCATTTGAAAAGTAGGGTCTATCAATGTAATTTTCCACTAATTGCTTTGCTTGGATAAAATCACAAGATAGCATTAAAGCATTTGGATGTTTTGCGATATTTTTATCTTTAGATATCTTGGGTACAGAAAAGAAGAAAACAGAAATTGGTATTGTTGTCAACACGACTATGGCATAGATTATTCACAATAAGTTCATTTTTCTTACCATAGAGTGTTGTGGATATTAGTAAATTCCGTAGTTTACATCATGGAGTGGATGCCACGAGATCTAAAGGTCCTGGATTCGATTGTAGATAGGTTTATGGACGCGAACTGTTAGGTGATCCTATACTGGGAAGAAAAGGATGTCCAATGTTTCCTGGTTCTGTATGATTGTCCAAATAAGACCAGACAGTGATATTAACTATCAAAGTAGACTTTTCTGTCAAACGGAGCGAGAACTTATTAAGTAAAGCATTAAGCTTTCAACAAGTAAGTCTAATGTTAGAATCCGCCCCACCCATTTCTGTTTAGGTAACCGGGCAGTATAGTTAACCCTTACGCAGAATATATTAAAGCTGAGCACATAAATCTGTACTTACTGCCTAAGTAAACCAGTCATTTTCATACTAAAGTTTCAGCTAAATTTATATTGATAATAATAAATTTAATGAGTTTTTCCATAATGTATTACTTAAGTCAGATTCGAAATTCACATATAACTAAAGCAATCAATTTAGAGAATTCAGCCTGAAAGGTCTAAGTAGTATTAAATTTATGAAGTAACATCAATTAGTAATCGCTTAATAAATATCTCTAGTGTTTTAAAGTTAATTATAATGGTTCTCTTATGTCTTCACGAAGTAGAAACGATACCGTGTGAAAGTTAAAAATTAAGCTTTTTTTTCGAATATAAATTCTATTATTTTTTCAAGGCTGAATTTCAATGGAAAAATAACGTTATTAGTGACGTGCATGATACTCTACAACCTTATTAAGAACACACTAGAAAGCAAATAAAGATATTGCAATATGATCCATGATGTGATTCTAATAACACCCCCTCTGTTGGCATTCACACAAGGCGACGTGGAGTTGTAGATAAAACAAGTTACTGTTTAGAAAAGTTTCAGATAAACAATGACATACACTGATAGATATGGGTTTTAGTACCAAACATGATTTAAGGATGGTACAGTCGATTAGGAACTTTGAAAATACCTTAAAAATTTGTAAGCATTCAAAATTCACTACTTTTTAGCAAAAGTTGTTCTCATAAAGCAGACTTTCTTGTTTACCGAGTAGTGCCGGGTGCTAAATTCCCAAAATTGTTGTTTGAGGATTCTTAAGGTCAAAAGGAGGGCATAGTTTTATTAAGTTAACGATATAAATAACTAACCATTTTATTTGATCTTACATGGGATCAATTTTTACAGAATCAATATTTTTGAAAAAGTATTATTATTTACAATCAACACTACAGTTAATCTTTGTACTTTCGTAGTTTTGAGTTCTCTGAGCTAAAATGTATAATCGCAGAGCCTTCATAATCGTACTGGACAACAGCCTCAGTGCCTACTTCATGTAATATATTTCGTATTATTATCTTTCCGTAGAAGTTTGATGATAATTTTCATTAAATATTAACATTATCTAGAGCGACGGCTTAAAAACACTTATTATTGAAATAAAAAGTTTCCGGTTTGAATCCTATAACAAAAACTGTAATTTAAGGGACTGGAACGTAGCACTAACGTTTGAGGTTAGGCATAAGTTACCACATAATTGCAGCAAATCGGTTGATGAGGTTGTAGGCCTTCACCAACTGAGTTGGTTAGGATATGTTTCTAGTATCACTTCACACATCATCAGTGCTTAGACTTCATCATTTTAATTGCTACTAAACTATTTCAACTATTTACTGACTGATTTTATCGTATCAAAGTAATATGGCAGATTGAGCCCAAGGATACACGTATTAGACTTTTCACTGATTACGAATAACTAAAACAAAGTATTGTTTAGAAGCATATTAAACATGTTTTTATTATTAAAGGAGTTACATTAATATCATTAGATAACAATAATGAAAACCATGAGTAACTAATAATTTCCTCCTTATTAAGATACACTAGTGAGTGAATTACGACATGACATTCCAGTACTAAGCCTAGTACAACATAGTTTTAAAAAAGCGTAATACAATATCCTGTTACAAGTGAATTCTAGAAACTTACCCCGCCTAATAAATAGAACAATCGAAATGAATCAATTTCAACACTGATAATTGGTAGTGAATGTACTGCTAGAGAAGGTTTCACAGGAACTATGTTATTTATCTCGTCAGTACAAACTGAAGATGAGGATGATAATGATGAAGTAGTACATTGTCCTTCATACTTTAAGACGTTGTTGATAAAATCACTGATTTCACTGATTACATCCGGAATAATAACGATATCTAATGGTTGAACAGCAACATGCAAATGATCTTCCGGATATACGATAGCACTATGTGAAGTATCATCGATTAGTGATAAATCCGACTGAGATACAGAAAAATAATCCGACGTTGCACTGGACTTAGAACACGTTCTTGTAAACACTATCCTGATGAAATTTTCGCCAATGCTTGATTTATCTTCTACTCGGTTCGTATTTGAATTCATGCGATAACGTTTTCGGGCATTGATAGGTATTAAAGGCACGTTGTTCTCTTCAAACCATAAAGATTTATCAAATTGATAATGTTGATCTGTAGAAAGATTACGTGACATAGTTTGTGATTCATCTTCAGCCTCATGTGCTTTACTGAAACACGGTCGAAGTAGTTGAATAGGTTGAATATCTTTTTCTAGTAATGTTAACAATGGAATTTTGGATCTATAAAAACAGGCAGATTTTAGAAAACCATGTTAGATATTGTGTAGTTCATGGATAACGTACATCATATCTGAACCAAACTGTGTGATTCCCGTGTTAAGTATATTATCCAGAATATATTTTTGTGTGTTAACTAGGAATTAAATCCGAAAACCTTAAACAGAAGTGAATAGATTGTACTAACTACTTTAAATTAATGTTTACTTCAAAACTGAACAATTTCGTTTCAATAGGATTTCATCACCCGGATCAATACAATTATCAAGAAGAGGACTCAGTGTGATAGAAGCTGACTACTCAAACCGAAACAGGTGAAGTCAAGTTATGTGTAGTTCACAATGTGACGGATGAAAGCTACATAGCTTTGATCGATAAAGTTTTCTCTCACTATTAATATTCCATAAATTGATATTGATACTAAGCTAACACCTTGATTAACCAGTGTACTTTGATCAATGAAAATTTGCTTCAAAGTTTAACAATGACGTATTCAATGCTAGGAACAAGTAGTTTCAGTATACAGAATAGATGAAAAACTGCTAGCAGTGAAATCAAGAACGTGCGTTTCCTCCTGCTTGGGACTGGTCAATTGAATGTGCTTACATCCCAAAGATGGTGTTCATTTCAGCACTCAGACCCAGCACTTTCCGCTTCAAAGTATTCTGGATAATTCTAGATTATTAAAAAAGCATTCTTTTAAAACCTTAACATTATTGACATGATTAGTTCATTCCATCAGTAACGGTGGTTAAGGTGCCACAGGTTAAAACCTACCTCCATTCACATAAATCTGAGCAACTGGACAATATCACTGGCCTTGATATTTACAGTGTGACTCGAAATCAGGCATACAAATCTGTGTCTGGTAATGGTAACGAAAATTATACACTTTTACAGGAGTACGGAGAAATGTGTTGAAATATTTTACATAAATCATCATTAAATTAATAAACTTCTAAATAATAATCCAATCTGAAGAGAAAATTGAATAACAAACTTTTAACTATAATGTTGTTTCGTATTGGACAATGTTATCAACAACAACATCGTACAAAATGAACATATTGATACAACTTACTCTGCTTTTTTAATTACTGCATCGAAATAACGAACATGAAAATCAACACAACAACATTCCTTTTGTAAATTGATACTAAATTTTGTACTTTCCACTGTCCACTGCAAAATAGCATCATGATCACAGTATGTCAACATAATTTCACCATTACTATATGGTAAACTACACTGAACCTGTAGAATAATATCAAAAGGATTATCTTGATCTTGACAGATTGATAAATTTTCGATATCAATATTTTTTGATCTATTCGAATAACTTTTGATATTACATGGTAAATGAAACAAACTAGTTGTTGAACGATTACATTTAATTATGCCATCTGGATTATAGCTCGTTTTGTAAAGTGCCGTCGGGATATTAACAGATGATTCTTCAGTAATACAAATACTATTTGGTGAATAAAAGTGAATAGGTTTATTTTGAACATGATCACTAAGATTAGTAGATTTCATAGTAGGGTTGATAGTGATGGTTGCAGATAATGACCTTGTGGCATTTTTATGCATAAACATTGTGAATTCCAAAAACTATAGAAAAGATGGAAAATGTTAAACAAATTTTTAATTTATAAATATTATTAGCTTAAAGAAACATGTGAAATTAAAAGACTCATACAAGACAAGATTAATTCAGCAACTGTTCATGTAGTATTGACTGAAATATTGATATGAAAACAAAGGTTATGTTGAACGTTTTAAAAGTTGAAATGAAATCATTTTTAGTGAAGAAAATAAATTTGCTTTAGTTGTTATCACTAACATTAAGATCTGTGTTAGGCTATAGGAGAAATGTGTGACTGATTCAAAGATGAAGTCCTCTCCTAAGAGTTGTGCAATCGTGTATATGTTTTAAATTGTAGGTCTCTGCAACCTACCACGTTCATTCCGCCTATACAACTTTAAGTAAATGATATATTATTCTAAAAACTAATGATTTAATTTATATATGTTAGGTTACACTATATGATATTAAACCATTCAGTTATAATATTAAAATACAAGGGTCTGTCCAAATCCTCGCTCACACGAAAATTCCAACTCGATTTAAATAATTTCATAACATGCAGGGCATCCAAAGCTGGTTTTTAATTATTTACTTTTTTCACTGTATTTCTAAGTTGATCGTACGGTAATATGAAATATTTAAGTAGTTCACCTTCACAATGCAATTCTTTTCTTAGAAAGTCAAGTTGAAAAAACGTTGTAAAAAGGGTCATAATTGAGCACAGGTAACTCAGTAGGGCAACAAACAATGTGCCACAAAATTAGTCTACAAAACTTAACAATTCACCATATTATTAAGAAATATATCTCATTTTTTAGATTCGAAGTAATTTACAGTCAACGGTTAAACTCGAATTCATAATAGTCACTTGTAACACAAGTCAAAAACTATTCGCCGACAGGATATATGGAGTTTTTAGATGAAAAACAAATGCAAAAAACCTGATCTCCAGTTTCAAGTATCATTAGCAAAATACAGTGCAGTTTGACTTCAAAGTCGGTATAAGGTGCATAGACTACAGTAAGTCAGACCTTGACAAGGAACAAAACAGGAATTCGGTATTCTGCTATTTTCAACAAATTTCGAAATATTACTAACAATCATAATAATAATGTTAAGAACAGTAATTACTACTACAGGTTTTCGCAAAGCAAATATAAGAAAATTAGTATAACAGTAAATTCATACTTAAAAAGCAAGGATTTCCTACCTTAGGTACAATGATACCATCAAATCCACTGTAGCAAAATTGAATTATTTTGACAGTCTGATTCAAAATTCGAAAGTCTGGAATTCTGTAATTTCTACCAGATAAATAATTGGGTTCACGATCCCATTTAACATCAGTATTTAGATTTATAACAAAAGGGGTAGTGCCACTACATATCGCGTTAGTTGATGATAATGTTCCTTTTAGTATATTAGGATCGAAATCTTGGCTATGATGAAAATCTAAATTTATCGAAAATCGACCAGCAAAAATCAAACTATTTTCCACAATTAAATACATTTGTGTAGCCGAAAACATCCAGTGAAAAATGGACTGCTCTGTGCCAATTTTTTCCGATTGCAAGAACATTGGTAGATCATATACTGCGCATGACCATGAACAATTGCTGAGAACAATATCATCAACTTGATCGTGTCGGGACTCATCACTACCAGCTTTATCTAAATCATAGTAATTTGATAAGTATAATTGAGGAAAGCCAAAGAGTAGGTATGACATTTTACTAAGCATCAGTAGTTCTTCTAATTTTCGACCTTTTATAAATGCGGAAAACGATGGTGGACATTCACCAATTACACTGAATATTCGTGCTGGTTTGAAAAGGATCTAAAATATTGCATGTTTTAAAAAATGAATTTGGTAAATGAAATTGATAGATAGATAGATAGATAGGTAATTTTAATTAGTTACACTGAAAAATCAATTCTTTTGTGTGATGGAGTCAAATAAATGGGGAATTAAATAACAAGCAAACAAATTTAATAGTCAACTATGAATATAGTCATTCACTTCCATGGTTATAGAAAAGAAAACCACTTTTTCGTTAACAATAACAGGAAATTCAATTGAATATGATGTCATCACAAAACTTATTGTAAGGAAAAAGCATATAAGTGGATAATTATGACTTATCGCATAGTATTCAGTAAACCAGGGCCCTATTAAGAAAAGATGTCAAGTTATCAAACGTTACACAGAACAGCTTTGAACATTTGGTATGAATTTTTAACCTGCCAACTACAGAATAAACATAGACTCTTCTTCAATGACAAAGAATAGGAAATACAGCAGTTGAGTGTGTTGTATATTTTATTTACTTAAGAAGTTATATCAACCTTAATAATCTTGTTCCCTAAGTTTCCGTAAGAAGCCGTGACCTGTGTAGTTCAAATGCGTCTGGTGTGAGACAGCTATCTACTTATGCAAATGGTGTAGTGAATAAAAATACGAGTGGGGACAATCGAATGTATTTGGCACTAAATTACAGAGCATCTCAATAAAGTCTGAGAACCATATAGTAAATCGTTATTTGCAAAATATCAGTCCATCATCTCAAATTTGACTGTTCATGTTTCAAACATCAATCCATTGTCTCGGATTTCATTGTTCATGAGTTTTCATACCAATTGCGTTTCGTTCCCGTTCTTTCCTCATCGACCTTCTACCGAAATACATTCTATGCCTGACCACCGTCATATACTATTTGTGTAGATATAAGTAACCCACACCACAATAGTTGTAAAATATCGTGTATTGATAAAAATTGGACTTATACACCACATTTCAGTGATTTAAAGGGTAGGTGTTGACAGTGAGACCTGTCGGTCCAGGTGTCGGGCATTAGTTGGGACTTGTATGTGCACTGCTACTTTGAAGTCCCATATTAGGACAAAATAGTTTTCCAGTGATTCCTCCTATTCAACGGTTGTCTAGCTAAAGTAAATTTGTGGTGTACACTATAAAAATTTTCTTAAATATGTCAGTTAGAAATCATTTTGGTTTAAAAGAACTAAAAATGAACCGGGCAGATTGCTGTGTGAAGTCATATAGTTGTATACGAGGAAAAAGTGTAGATAATACATGTGAAATATTACCAATGAATGGTCGAAAATCACTAACTATTAACAATGAAGCAGATATAAATAAACTAATCTATTTGTAATATCCCAATAAGTAGAAAAATTAAATTTTCTGAAGTTTTGTTAACTCAGTGTGAGCCACTTCTTTAGAGAATAAATAACTAAATCCTCATTTTCGACAATTTAATGCTAGCTACAAGAATTCTTATAATCACAGATTATTTTTCCTGAACTCTAGAGTAGACAGGAAAAATAATCTGTGATTATAAGAATTCTTGTAGCTAGCATTAAATTGTCGAAAATGAGGATTTAGTTATTTATTCTCTAAAGAAGTGGCTCACACTGAGTTAACAAAACTTCAGAAAATTTAATTTTTCTACTTATTGGGATATTACAAATAGATTAGTTTATTTATATCTGCTTCATTGTTAATAGTTAGTGATTTTCGACCATTCATTGGTAATATTTCACATGTATTATCTACACTTTTTCCTCGTATACAACTATATGACTTCACACAGCAATCTGCCCGGTTCATTTTTTTTCCTGTTTACTCTAGAGTTCTCGCACACTTATGCAGGTCGGACAACAGATAGGGCTGGCTATGTCTTTGGAAAGTCTTAATATTGATGTGTGTTGTCTATCCGAGACCCGTATTCAAGACTCTGGTGAAGTACTACAAGTTCGCTCTCCATCTGTCGCTTCAAAAAGCTTGTTTTATGTGCGTTTATCCGGGGACCCTGTGGCATCTTCGTCTGGTCTTGATGGCGTTGGTGTCGCACTAAGCGCAAGAGCTGAGACAGCACTAGTCGATCGGATCCCCATTAACAGTCGGTTGGTTATGAGCTGTTAGATAAGAAAGTTCCATCCAAGTGAGAAGAAATCGGCGTGAGAAACGATGTCTTTTCGTCATCTCCGCCTATGCCCCGACTGATTGCAGCCCGGATGCAATCAAGGACGAGTTCTACCACCAGCTAACTCTTCTTCTCCAGAAAGTGCGTTCGACAGATATTGTAGTACTAGCTGGAGACTTGAATGTTCAGGTCGGGCGTCTAGGCACAGAAGAGAGTCGTTTAGGTGGCCGATGGGGACTCGTTGGTCGCAGGACGGATAACAGGGAACGTCTACTGCAACTATGCACAGACCACAACCTGTTTCTGGCTAGCACTAACTTTCGGCACAGTCATCGCCGATGTGCCACCTGGCGTCCCATTTCCGCATCTCAAGCCTGGACTCAGATTGATCACATCGCGATCAGCTACCGCTGGCGCGGTTGTGTACAAGACTGCCGCTCCTTTTGGAGTACCTATCTAGAATCTGATCATGCTCTGGTCTGCGCCAATCTTACCTTACTTTTCAGTGGACAACGAAGTGACCGCCACCATAAGATTGATGTTAGCAAGCTGGCTGCAACTTCTGTTGCTAGTATGTACCGAACCGAGCTAGTTTCTAGGCTAGCTAGCATTCCACCGAAAATTATAGATGAGCATTGGTTGCAATTGCATGACGCCATGAAAATGGCGGGTACAGTCTGTTGTGGGTTTGAGAAACGTCCCGCTTACAAGCACTGGGTTTCTTCTGGTTCCTTACAACGGATTGAAGCCCGTCGGTCTACTCCGGGTGATCGTGAGTTTGACCACAGACGAAGGATGTTACGTAATGAAATCGGGCAAAGCTTGCGTAAGGACCGAGAAGCCTGGTGGTCGGAGCGTGCCAGTGAGTTGGAAGCAGAAGCTGCATCTGGTAATTACCGGAAGCCCTTCCAACTCATCCGAGCCACTGGCAGCAAGAAGTCTGGTGTGAGCGAAACAATCTGCGAGGATGACGGAACGCCAATCACTAACATCCATCGACGTCTTGGACGATGGGCAGAATTCTTTGAAGGGCAGTTCAACTGGCCTGCTGCTCCGACAACATCGGTCAGACTGTCCTGCCCTCCATGGCCGGTGACGACTGATCCACCAAATGAGGCGGAAGTCCACAAGGAACTCCAACTCTTGAAACGTTACAAATCACCGGGCCCAGATGACTTACATCCGGCTCTTTTTAAAGATGGTGGTGACTTTCTGACTAAGGGACTGACGACGTTGTTTGCAAAGTTCTGGGAACTAGAGAGTGTACCAACGTCATTGAATGAGTCGATAGTTGTCCCTATCTTTAAAAAGGGTTCACGTTGTTCTTGTAACAACTATCAGGGGATAAGTCTACTTCCGATTGCGTCCAAGCTATTGGCTTCCATCATACTTCGTAGGTTGTTCAGAACCCGAGAAGGATTGACTCGCGAGGAGCAGGCTGGGTTTCGTTCCGGTCAAGGATGTATTGATCATATCTTCACCCTCCACCAAGTGTTAGAACACTGCCATACTTATCAAAGGCCAACAATCGTAGTGTTTCTTGATATCAGGGCTGCCTTCGATTCGTTGGACAGAAATGTAACTGGGATTGTCTATTGAAGGGTGTGCCTGAGAAGTTTATTAACATCCCAAAATCCCTATACACAAACACCTCAGGCAGAGTGAGGGCATACAACCACCTCTCTCCATTATTCCATTCGAGCAGTGGAGTTAGGCAGGGTTGCCCAACCTCACCATTCCTCTTCAACTTTGCCATCGATGACATTCTGGAAACAGCTCTGACGGATGTAAGTAATGGTGGTGTGGATCTGTTGCCTGGAGAAGGACTTCTCGACCTTGAGTATGCCGATGATATTGTCTTACTGTGCGAGAATGCCCAAGCTATGCAATCCGCACTTAATCAGTTGGCAATCAGTGTCCGTAGGTATGGTATGTGCTTTGCACTTTCGAAGTGCAAATTACTTCTACAAGACTGACAGGATTCTAATCCTGTACTCACTCTGGATGGTGAGCAGATAGAAGTAGTCGAGAAGTTCGTGTATCTAGGTAGCTGCATAAGTGCTGATGGTGGCGTGAGTGATGAGATCAATGCACGTATAGTGAAAGCCAGAGCGGCTTATGCCAATCTGGGCCATCTTTGGCGCCTTCGTGATGTTAGTCTGGCTGTAAAAGGTCGGATCTACAACGCGACGGTGAGAGCAGTTTTGCTCTGTGCTTGTGAAACCTGGCCTCTCCGAGTTGAGGATGTTACACGACTCTCTGTGTTTGATCATCGTTGTTTCCGAAGGATTGCTGGCATCCAGTTGCAACACTATGTCAGTAATGCAGAGGTTCGGCATCGTGTGTTCGGTCACAGAGACGATAATGAAATTGGTGTCACCATCTTGAAACACCGACTTCGGTGGCTTGGACATGTTCTACGAATGTCGTGCCAGAGAATTCCACGTCGTGCATTATTTGCCGACTCTGGGACTGGTTGGAAACAGCGGATAGGTGGTCCGTGTATGACATGGTGTCGTGGTATGAAAGAAAGCTGCAAAGGGCTAGCTTCTGTTGGTCCTTCACGACTCCCTGGTTGGGGTCCGAGAGACGGTGTAACGCAGTGGCTAGAGACGTTATCAGATATGGCTCAGAATAGAAGCCAGTGGCGATCCTGCTGTAACCTTCTTTTACTTTCTTCATAAAAAGTGGTTGTATCTTCCTTAACTGAAAGATCTCTTCTGATTGTACCTTTCCGTTTCCTCCACCATTGTTCTCTCTCTTTTTTTTTATAATTCCCCACGTTCATTACTTCTTTTTTCTCTTTTCTCCTTCTCTTCAAATTATCATTGTTTTGTGTGGCGCATATATATTTGGTGCCCCCCTGTACCAATATTTATGTGTTCAAATAAATAAATAAATAATAAATACTCTAGAGTTCAATTTTACGTTGTTGAGAGATACACTTTATCAGCTAGTTCATTGTGAAACAAACTACTGAGTGGTTTTACAATTTTTAATGAAAACGTTGCTGATCAGTAACCAAGAACAGATTGGGGTACTTGATTAAGAGTCACAAAATATTGACACTATGCAAATTACAAAACCATAGTAGCAACAACAAAGTTGAAAACCAAAGCTGAATTGACGAATTTCAGGTGCATTCTAATTAAAAAAAGCGCAGATCCATAGATTTCTACTGACCCTCGACAACTAACTATCAGTAAACATAATACAGTCGTATGTAAATTCACTTAGTATAGTGACCTCATAGAGAACATGTTCGATAGAAATTAATCAGCACTAAGGACCGAACAATATAAGCAATCGCGCGAAAGAGAAGATCATGGGTTCGAAACCAATGTGCAAGATTGTGGATGAGCACTGTAGAGGAGTCCCATACAAAGGCAAAACGACCGTCCTGCGCTCCCAGGTTCTTAGTGGTGGCCTAACATTGAATGGTTCATGATTTCGACGACATTCAACAATCGCCGCAATCCCAAAGTGAAAATATGAAATTGGCTGATTTATAACGGATGATTTGCAACGGATTTTCAACCAGTTCTTAGTCAACAAGAAAACAGCTCTGTATATGGATAGTTTATGGAAAAGAAAACAATAATATTGTAAAGTGTAAACAGATTTTACAGTTTTAAGGTGTCTATTAATATCTTTTACAGGTTACTTTGCCTATAAATCGAGAGAAATAATGACACAAAAGTTCGTCTTTATAAATATAGATCATCCGCCTTTTCGAAGGACCCAAATCGAATCCTAACAGACTTCACATTGTTCTTAGTGGAGATTAGGTATTTAGCGATAAGATTAGGGGTTTATATTTGAGAGTTTCACCACGAACTGACATTTGCTATACAACAAAACCTCTACAAGACAGTATGCATGAACGAAGTTCGTACCAAAATCCAAGAAGCTTTGTCCGATCAATTCGTCCATACAATATAATGCCACTAAGGAATATTTCGTGATTAGGATTTTAGGGTTATGACTTAAAAATAGATAGATAGATAGAATAGTGCACTTAATAAGTTTAAAACAGTCACTTTCACTTTATAGTGGCACATATGTTTTTTCGCTTTCATTTTAAACATTTCGAATAGTATACAAAGGTATTTCTACTGCTCGTTATGCTCAGTAATTGAATTTCGCGTAAAAATCTCAAAGTCGTGTCCTCAATTCTGATAGACTCATTTCTAGACTAGAACTTTATCCAGCCAGTTTTATGAAAAAATTCTTCGTTCGAACTATTGTTAAATGACATAAATATCGCTATTTTTGAAGAATATTTTGATATGACTACTGATATATTAGGCAATGAAAAACATCTTTTACCCAAAAACTACAAAGTGATTACCAGGCTTTTTAGGTAGATAATTGAAAAGAAAATTATGAAACTCCATTAAAATGACAAAACAGAAAGCAACTAAGTATTATATTCACTGAAAAACATATCATTGGTCGATGAAGGTCAAAAGAACGTCTTGGCTTTCTGTAGTATACATATAAATCTTGAATGATTATTCATGGTGATAAGATTACAAACAATAGTTGGCTCAGTACAGATAAACACAAAAATAATCGGTTCAATACGGCCGAGCAGACATAAAGTGTATCAACTAGAAAACAGTCTATGAATAACCAATGAAATATAACGAAACGATTATACGTTAAAAATTTAACTACTCATAAATAACATAGATTACCAAATAAAACATTTCACACCAAGACTAACCTGGACTGAAGCATTATGCAAAAGGTTTTTACAGTATATCAAACGTTTCCAAACTTCTTTCCACTGAGCTTTATTACCAATAACTAGCGAATGTGTAGGTGAAAAATCAGTTGAAAATGAAGAATGGACAATATTTGCTTTTATCAGTCCTTTAGAGCTGATATCAGAGCCTGATAACGACAACCCATCGTATAATAACCGGTTTTCTATAGAAAAACCAAATAAAGATAGATAATTGAGGAAAGTGTAATAAACACTCTGTTTCTATATTTTAAAAAGTCATCGAGGAATTTTCTGTTTTTTTGCTTGCATAGGATAAAAACTGTACGAATCTTAACGAAACTTGGTAATTGACGGTAGTTTTCAGTTAGCGTACTAATATAATACACTGAACTATTTACCTATTGCTAAGGATATGCTAATCATCATACAACAATTTCTGATATCTGAAAATATTAAAGACAAAAGTTTGTTTCATTTTCTAAATTTAATGTTATGTAAGACGATATTACATATTAAAAGAGTATAGGTGCAATCGGATAACAGACCTGATTGTTCAGAACTCAAACAAGCGAAGTGACATACTACTCTACATAAAGAATAGTAGAAACGAAACATTTGGTGTTAATATACACATATGTTTGAAAAAGCTCAGAGTAATATTTAAGAACAACATTTTCCAATCGCTTCTTTAGTATTTGTCACTCTAGCGCTTCACCAACTACATTAAATCAATATTTACTGGTGCATCATTATTTATTTCGAAAGAAATTTCTACGAATGAACTGCTTCCCAAGCTACTATTTTGATTGATAAACATTTAAATGCCATACAAGGAGTCATCGCTGCCGATAAACCAATAAACGATTTAATCAGTAGTATGAAACCAACTTTTACCTTGTAGATTCAAAAAGCCGAAGGATAATAGGTAATAAAAATATTTTTATTACAAAACTAGAAACTTTCGAAGAGTACATTTCTAAAACCTCTCTCAGGATTGAATCAACGACGTTTATCAAAAGAAATTAGTAATTCGAACAGAAATCCAACGTTTTCCATTTAAACTCTTAAATGACCAGTAAGTGGATCCAAGCTTTCTACATTATTCAGGATCTACGTAATCACACTAGTCACATGTTCGTATTACAATTTCTGAAATATATCTAGTGTGATTATTTGACAGATAAGGACTTATGATTTTTAACTAACCAACGTGAATGGATATAGCTGTCCCATGGAACCAAAGTTGTTGAGAAATGTAGCTGATATACAACTAAATAATCAAAGTGACATCTGGTAAGAAATAAAAACTTATTGGTGCATACGGAAATTATGAAATACTATTGGATCTTTGGCAGGATGTGTCAAACAGTGAAACATTACAATCTAAAAAATATTTTGCTCATATAATGTGGAGTTGTGGCTTAGTAAGTGAAATATCCAGTGTCCAGTTTAAACTGGGATTTAAATCCAATACCTTTCGCTTCAAACGCCGATTCGTTATCGACAGTCACTAGCTTGTTCAATCGATATGATTTCCACACTATATTTACATCCATTCTAAAAACTTCAAAAAAGATAACGATATCGCTAATGATGTACATAGGCCAACTAAGAAATTGAGCCCTGAATATGAGCAATGGAATAATTGAAACTTCTCGCAAGAGTATGAACCATGCAGATTGAACTACAAGTTTACATATACCGCTTCGTTAACTTCCATTCATGAAACCAAAACATATATCAAGGAGTTACATTTGATTAAAGCTAAAACTTGAATAATATACAAGTCAATAATGAATTACAGAGCTGCATAAAAGCCAAACCAGTAATACAAACTAGGAAATATGTACTTTTCGTGAACTCTGAAACTTCTATTCTTGTAGTTGACTGATTTGAACTGCTTATATATTCACAATTGTGACCATATTGTGCTTGATTTTTAATATCTGGCAAACTTAACAAAGCGAACCATTCAAATAATTCCGCAGTGATTAAGCAATCAACATTGGCCAAATATCCATGAGATTTGATAGGTGCTTTTAATTACAGTGAAAAATGCACAAATGTATTAACAAATAAAATTCAAACATCAAAATATCATTACAATCACCTAAGAATTACAGTAGCAACTAAATGGAATAATCTAGAGCATGAATTCAATACTTCAAAAAGGGGACAAAAATTACTACATATCAAAAGATAACCACCGATCTACATTAAATCTGTGACCACCGACACTAGACTTACGAGTTTTGAAGGTATTTTGTCCTCAGAGCTGGATGGTTTGATTGTAAAGCATTACCTGTTTTCTTATACAATATTATCACCATACACTTCAATAAGAAGTGAGGGGTTAAGATTTCTACATAATTAATTACCCGCTTGTCCTATCGACCTAGAATGCAGCTAATGTCGGAGGACTTACATTAACTTGCCATTCAGGTAGATTGGAGATCGTGGGAAACCGAAGAGTGGCTGAAGGCCAGTTGAACTGATCCCTAAAGTGTTCTGCCCATCGATCCAATCTCGTGGATTGAGAATGAATAATATGTCCATCTTTCTCTGAGATTGTTGCGCTAACAGTTGGGTTCCTACTAACGGTTTCCTTAACAAGTCTGAACAGTTGCCTGCTGTCACCTATTGCCGCTGCCTTTCCCATCTCTCTTGCTCTCGCTACCCACCATTGTTCACGATCATTGCGTAGGCTTCTGGTCAGTTTACGCTTAAGCTGACTCCGCTCTTCGTTATGTTCAGAGCCAGATGGAATGAGTTTCCGAGCATCCATCAGTGCGGTAGACGCTGCTGAGATCCAGTGTTTCTCCCTAACCTTATGGTTTACCGTACTTGCAGACATCACTACTGTTTCTACAGCTTTTTGGATGTCATTCCACGCTGCCTCGGGGTGGGCATCACTTACATGGTTGTCTAACTGTTTTTCTAGTTGTTCCTGAAATATACTCTTAGCTTGACTATCATTAGGTAGGACCCTAAGGGGTTTCCTTGCAGCATGTTTCCTACGTCCAGTAAGACGTAGACAGATACGTGCTCGCACTAGAGCATGATCTGAGTCTAAGCATGTGCTCCAGAATGAGCGACAGTCTTCTATCGAGCTCCTCCATCGGTGGCTGATAGCGATGTGATCTATTTGGGTCCAGCGTTGAGACGAATTAGGGGGTCGCCATGTTAAAAGATGTTTTTCCTTATGCCCAAAGTTAGTGTTTGCAAGGAACAGGCGGTTATCTGAACATAGCTGCAACAGACGGTCGCAGTTATCTGTTCTTTGAGCCGCGACGCCATAAGATCCACCCAGGTGTCTTTCCCCTTCGCTTAGTTTACCTAGTTGAGCATTAAAATCCCCAGCCACTATTACTACATCTGAACGCCTAGCTTTTCGGAGAAGGTCGGAAAGCTTTCTGTAAAACTCATCTTTTACATCATCTGAGCTGCAGTCAGTGGGAGAGTAAGCAGAGACCAGGAGACCAGGAATAACATTCCGCGTACTCAAATCGTTTGCAATAGCGGGGCGACGTGTGAAGGGTTGGTCGTGGAGATAAGAGAGTTATTAGGAGGTGTAGGAAGGATTTGAATGTGACCAACTTGGTCTCGTGTGCTGTTACGGGTATGAGGGCTGGTGTCACTTCCCGGCTGCCCACACCATGGAAGGGTATTTCTTGAGGAACCTGAAAAGGAAATCAGATTAGTGTTGGTCTTAACGACCTGGGTGCGTGACCGCAGAGCCCAAGAGACATCTGCTTGAGGCCGGTCGCGCATGGTCTTTTCGTGGGAGGTTTTTAATGTGTTAGCTCCGTTCTTCACAGGGCCTTACCGCGGGAGACGGAAATCCGTGGGGTAAGGTGAGGTGTGACATTTTTAGGGTCAACCTTTTCTAACCCCTTCCTTCCTTGTGAGAAGGCAGCATCGCTGTAGATGCTGGTTGTCAGAAGGAAACACCTTAATGCTGTCACACCTCTGTACAGTCAGCAGTTCGACTTCGCCCTCAGGCCTTGAGTTGCTGCTTTTAGTCTTACCGTTCTCCAATCGACCTGCCTGGCATGGTAGAACCAGCAGGAACATGTGTTGATTTTGTAGGTGATGTTTGTTTTATATCCACTTGTCGTTGTGTCCTTTGCCTTGTACAATATTGATTGTAAACATTTTGTGGAATGTTTACCGCATAGGATAAAATTATCCGCTTGGTGTATTTTGATTTTATACTTAGTGGTCAGTTTGATAAACACTATTTGATGAGTTTTTAATGGTATCCATTTTTCCGAAATACATCCATCAGGCATTTCTACTATTTTTTCATTTCAGTAGCGGTGACACAATATGTGTTCTCTCTTATGAACAGGGTTTCTAAGCAGATTAATTTGTAAGTCATCGGGTTGTTGCAGTTGTAAATGAGTATTTCATCAATGTGGGTTGATTTCCAAAATACTTCAGTTTCCAGTTTTCTTGTATTGGTCCTAGCTATCAGAATCCTCATTGTGAACTAGAAAACATTATCCATCATTACTTAAAAATCCCTACATGATTTAAGCACACAATTATTGACTTCGTTTCTTTGCCGATTACTAATGTTATATAAAAAGTATAAATAAATATTCTTAACATTACTTCCAAACACTTAAGCTGATAAAAACTGAAATCATCTTATTAGGCTGGTAGTAGGAGGACACTTGTAGTTAGTTTCCCATTCTAATATTCTTAGTTGTGGTAAGTAGTAGGTAGTTGGTTGCAGGTTAATAATAATAATAATAATAATAATAATAATAATAATAATAATAATAATAATAATAATAACGATAATAATAATAGTGTGTTATAATTGAGCTTTGACAACCACATAGAGACAGAAAAATTTCAAAAATACGTTTAGCCAAACAATGTCACTTTATGATGCTTTAATACACTCCACAAGTCGACGAGCTGATCACCTTTCTAAAGCAAACTCACAAATTACCACTTGTATTCAAATTAATAACTCGTCTTTCCGTACCCAAACTAGCACTGAAGCAAAACTCCACTTATAGTGCCCTCATTTTATTTGTTCAGCGTTCAATATTTCTAAATTGATAGGCATAATAAAATCAACCATTATTATTATTATTACCATGTTTAAAAACTTACTATTGGATGCCGCATCATGTGAATATGGAAATTGTACAGCTAAACAGAACAGTGGCTTCATTTTATTTTCATGACTATCCTTCTTGTCAACCATTCTCTCCATAATTGGACAAATTTTCTGCTGTTCAGTAGAACAATTCAAATACATAAGTACATTGGTTTCTAAACTAATTTGCATAACAGAAACTAGTTTAGTAAAGCATATACGAAATTTGGAAACACCATTTAGTTTAGTAGTCCATATCCAACATTTTTTATCAGCTGTAAAAAACACACAGAGAGAAAAAGAGTTAACTGATTCGAGAAATTGTACTGATAACTTACTTTGGATTTCATGTAGACCAATGTTATAATCATAAAATGACCAGTTTTTTTAGAGCATGCTATTTCGCTTTAATCAAGTCGAGAAAAATAATCAAGATTAGATAGTGTTATGTAATTAGAAAGAAACGATATTTCATATTCAAATCATAGGCGGGTATATAATATTCAGAAACTGAAATGATACTAACCAGTCAGGTCCTGTAGCTCCTAATACAATAAATCTGACCAATTATTAAGACACCAATAATCATAATCCGGTTATGAGTAAACGTTTGCTCGAAACCCTAAAAATCATCTGCATATAGTAACACCGAGTTTGTGAAGTAAAAACAAGCTAGTTAACTGATAAAGGTTTTAATTAAAATGACAAAAATAATAGCTATAATGATGGTATCGAATGTAATCGAAATAAATGATAGATTATAAATGCAATATCGATGTAAATTAAATTCATTTAAAAATGACAATACTTATCATGTAGTCAAGATCTACTCACTTGAATGTGATTCACTTTGCGAACAATACTGATATTCAGAAGGCCAATAAACATTTTTATCTTGTGATTCGCAGTAAGTTTTAAGATGATTCAGTTGATGAAACATATCACTTAGAATAAACGATAAAATACCGACGGTTTGCAAAGAAACATTGATTTCTATACCATTGTCCAACCTCACCCGGTACTCTGAATGACTAATTGAAGGTGAATTCCTGTAGATATAAAAACAGAAAAAATTAATATATGACAAAAGAACTAGTATTTTAAACGCATATTAATGCCTTTAACAAATAGTTTTATTCCATGATTAAAATAGCATTCTTTAGTTGCTGAAAAGATTTCCAATGAATATCCACAATTATATTTATAATAAAGCCAACAAATAAGCTATCAAAGTTATTAACCGTTTTCAAGATACTAACATAGCACAATGTTCTTTAATCAAAATTTCAATAAACAGTTTTTTGGAAACAATACAATGAAGTAGGTAACATACAGTGAATGTTGGATATTTCCAAAAACGCAGTCTGTTTTTGTAGTGAATTATGCGAAAAACTTTACTCCGTAATATCAAGACACGGGTAAAAACAAAATATATCAGAACAAGAACTTATACAGGGATAAATGGCATAAATGACAGTGTTTTTATGAGATGATTAAGTATAGTACATAGATCAAGGGACATTAAAAAGATGTATAAGCCATTTTCGTATGTGGCTACAATTAACATCACCCATAACATTTTTCCAATATTTTCTATCAATGACAATAACTACTCATCAAAGATAAACCATTAATGAAATATTCAACTGTTAACTATTTAGAAAATTTTCTTTTAGCACAATCAAAGTATAAACTAAACTTATTAATAGTAGTGTAACCAAATTATTTTTATAATGATATTATTTAAAAGTAAGTCACTTCAAATGATGTTTTTGAAACAACCGTCAAATAAAATGTTAAAAACCAAATCGAATATAACGATCCAGTACTGTGAAAATAGGAAGAAATGTTACTGAAAGAGATCAACTTCTTATATTACACTTGTACAACCAATCGAAGTTTTGATCACATTCTATGCACATATTACATACATAATGTTTATTTCTTATTGATAATTTAAGCGATAATTAACCGCGTACATATTGATAGTAAATTCAAAATATTTTATATTTTCGTGAAACCAAAGAAAAAAGTAATTCTGTTGATATGAAGAATTTCACAACATTTACATTTAAATTTTTAGTGAAATACGTTAAGCTGAAGGTTGCAGATATTGTTGAGACAACAGCTCTGAGAGATGATATTCCTAACCATAAAATCCACAAAATCTTTCAGTTTGTGAGAACTTTCAATCAAATCGATGCTTCACAAATTCATTTATAGCTACGATACAATGATCTACAAGAACAAAAATTGCCACAATAAAGTTCGTAGTTTGCACTCTATAACATTTCATTGAAGCGATCCTAAAATATTATTAATCTTAGCATCGTTATTGCACTGTCCAATATAGTTCCTTTTCCTGCATTTGTATATGCTAGTTAGCACTCATCAGCAAAACATACATAAAATCTTGAGAGAGCATCGACTCCCTTAGGGAGGGTGCCGGCTCGAGTCCCACAGAAAGTACCAGCTCCCTCAAGATCACAAGTTCACTTTGATGACGGATGCCAAATACCACGAGACTTCAGTCCACGATTTTCTGTAAAATAAATCCAACAACCTAGCATTCCAACACAGTGGGACAATATGTCTAGTCACCTAGGCTAGTGGCCACATGGCAACTTGATCGATAGGTTTGGACTATAAATAAAAGGACTAGACAGATATGATATTGGTCGTTGCTACTCAGGGATCGATGAAATGTGTGAAATGAATATATATTCAGTATAAAGTGTTTAAGATAACAGACTACATATATTTAGCAATCCAAATAAAGTAATATATAAGAACTTACCATAAGTGTGGATAATTCAATGACCAAAATATACATTCAAAACTAGCAAATTTCAAAAGTGATAATTTATCATTAACAGTATCATTATTGATAAAAGGAGCATTTTTGGATAAGTGTTTATCGGAAGATTGATTTATTTGATGATTTACAATAAGATTCATACAAATTCCAGTTAATTTTAATATAGTTCGATTGTAACAATAAGCAATTAATTGTTTATTCCACTCTTTACATGGTGTGTTCGGCACACCTAATTGTAATTCATCTAACCAATCATCAACAGATTTAGATGGATTATTCAATTCTAACTGAATAAATTCGTAACTACGTTTGAATAGATAAGAGGGGATATTCTGACGATTCATTATATGTACAAGATCATATGGATATACGGGTGAACGATTGTACCAAGAAATATGATCTATATGGAGTTGTAAATAGGGTAGCATCTGATTCTAAATTGATAAGTAGAAAAGAAAACCAAATTATTACTAATATTGATATTTTCATAACAAAGTACTCAAAATTATTTGAAAAAATCATAGTGAGCTGTCTTCGATGACATATTATATGAATGAACATTGAAGTAACACTGTGAAATTTTATCCAGTTAGGGTTAGTAATAAAGACTATGATAAAAGAAAAATGTATTTGTAAAATCTCAGCGAATGAATTTTTAAGTAAATCCAACGTTTCGCCTGGCAATCTGGTTCAAGCTTTTTCAAGGAAATTATAATCAAACAACAAAATTATCGATAATTTTGTTGTTTGATTATAATTTCCTTGAAAAAGCTTGGACCAGATTGCCAGGCGAAACGTTGGATTTACTTAAAAATTCATTCGCTGAGATTTTACAAATACATTTTTCTCTTTAATGTCTAACATTAACTCGGCGCCCAAATATTGTGAAACCATTCGTTCAAATTTAGACGAAAGTTCTTATTTATGATAAAAGAATGCTTTGTAACCATTTGAATGAATGTTTAAGTAGATAGTCCTCTGAATTCAAATCTCAGAATCTTTAAGCTACTAACCATCCAAAAACATTGTGTGGTTTTTATTTCTATCTATTTGCCGTTACTTATCCTTGTAAAATCTAACCACCCTAAAAAACTGTTCAAGTTTGTTTCCATTCTTTAGTCTTTTCAATATTTATTTACTTTAAGCGCAGTAATATTGGTGGGCTACGTAATAAGAAAAACGGAATGTAAAAGTGGAAGTCTCATATCGAAGAGAGATGTGATGGACAACTGTCCACTTGACGAATATAAAAAAGACGGACAAATGTCAAAGATAACCAACAGAATAAGAAAAGAATGTTGGGACCGTGGTAATAAAAGGTATTCAGTAGATTGGGAATAACTAAAGAATATATATATATATATATATATATATATATATAACAGTCCATAAATAGTTCATAGAATTTACTCATAATTTAATCTGCTTCGGTTACAACAACTTTAATAAGTCAAGTTTGAATATGAATTATCATAATAATAATATTACTCAAAGAATTTTTCATTGTATTTGTTGTTTCCTTTAATTTCGTCAACAATTCAAAAGTAATGATAAAGATAGTGAAACTAGAAAATGCAAAAAGGCATACAGACTTACCATTTGAAAGTTATGTGAAGTATGAACGGATATAATTCCATTACTAACATCGAATCGTGTATTACATGTGGATATATGTTGTGAGAAACGTGTAAGCGATAAATTACTTGATGACTTTGTAAACATTTCATCTAGTGTTAAGTAATATTAAATATACATAAATTATTATTAGAACTTTAATTTATAATTTCAGAAGAATTTGAGAAATATATAATAGTACGGAACTACAAGATGGAATAAGACAAATTACTACAATCTTGACTCCGACTGCAGCCCTTCTAGGGTTACTGTCGATTTCAAGACTAGGTGAAAGAGGAGGATTGAAAGTGGATTTATTAAACTAAGTAAAAAATTCAGCTAATGAATAGCTGTTACAATTTCATAATCTACAACGAACTTCAAAACTGTTCAAGTGAAGTTTTTTGAACATCGCTGTTAAGATAATGATAGTAATAGTGTCTTTCCTGCTGTTAGCAGCTACTCAGTCAAGATCTATAACACAAAATAGAGATCATTGGTTAGGCTGTCTATTTCATGATCAATATTATAAATTATTTCAGGCTAACAAATGATATAATTCTCGAGGTTTATTTAGGTCAAATATCAATCAAATATTTCTTCAGCAGTAAGATATCTATCTAAAGGATGAAAAAATTCAAATATCAAACCACTTAAAGGACATAACTTATTACATTGATTTCAAATAAATACTAGCGTTATACTGTTTATGCAGATAATTACTCTGATGGATAGTTTTATTAATGGTAAGTAAGTAATGGAGATTTCAAAACACAGATAGTTACCTTTTTGTGTAATTGAACATGATGGATACGGAATGGAATTTTTATAGGCAATTATAAAACCTTTTAAACGATGTATTAAATTAGGAGATACATCGACTGAATATGAACCAATAAGAAAACGATTATGAATAAACATTTTTACTCCATCCAATTGATGAACAGATGAAACTACGAAAAAGAAGGGATGAAAACGAGTTCCTGACAAACAATAATTATTAATGTATACTGCATTTCCAATCAACTACTCACAAGCAATAAATAACAAGTTTTTTCAATATATGATACACGAGTCTATAGCGTGGAAACTATCTTTACAAATGAAAGAAATTAAATACATAATGTGAGAAATATGGATCATAAGTTCGTAAGAAACGGGTGTTCATTCAAGAAATCCTTAAGAATACAAGTAGAAAGAAAGTTTTAAATTAACCATGCGTGAACCAAGTTACCAGTTTTTTTAATTGTAGAAGTAACTAAACAAACGACTAATCGCATTGTAGTTAAATGCCCCATTTTTTTGAGCTAATCTAACTTTGGTAGCCTGTTGTTATTCAGCTACGAGAGATGAAAGTTATAATTTGCTAATGAGTGGCTGATCTGCTCAGTAAATATGCAACAATCCGTGCGAATATTCAACACCTACTGTCCTGAAGTTTCTGATATGTAATTCGATTCAAAAGTTAAATCAAATTCCCTACTCATTAATTTTACGGCCTTAGGACTTCTTCCTCAAATGGAAATAATGATTATGCGAAGATGATAAAACGAGAAATCACAACAGAGTTGAAGAAACTGATTTCTCAGAACTTCAACAAATGTTTTTAATTAAAAAAGAGCAGATGAGACATGATCATGGTTACAAATATGCAGTATTTTGAAACACATATGATTGATGCAACCCTAAATTCGTGAAATCGAGTAATTTGTGGGCTCCAGTTTGCTTATTTATTGGTTAGACTACGTATAACGCTTATTTTACCAAAGCGTACCACCCAAATTCAAAAGATTTCAATTAACAACGGTTCTAAAACGGAAAAAACACGATTTAAGATAAAGTAGAGGAAAATCATCCCATAATATATAATCCTTTGAATAAACAAGATACTTAGAAGAAAATTATAGTTTTAATAAGGTGTAAATTGTTCGATTTAATCATATTTATTACAATCTCAATCAGCAACCATTCGTGTAGATCCAATAAACAGTAATTTAAATACTGTAGTTTGGTCAGCCAAATAGCATCACTAACCCTAGAGAAATAAATTTAGGTTAAGAATTAAGTCAAGAACTTGTAATTATTTGAATAGATATATTAACACGTAACATGTGAACTGAAATAATGAAATCGTATTTAGACTAGTGAAGTTAGTAATTAAAAATACGGAGCAATAAAAATTTTAAAATACTGAAAAACATTTATATAATTTACATTAGAATTTCCTAATATTTCCGCGTATTGTCCCCTGCAACTGTTTAATTGAAAATAGACCAATCAACGTACTCTGATTTGAGTTTAATCAAAGGATAAAATAGTCAAAATTCTATCTACCTAAAACACAATATTCATCTATTACAACACATCTATGAAATATTCAACGATGATTATTTAATGAAAGAAGTGGAAATAAAGCTTGATGTTTCAAATACTAATATCCCAATATATATATTTTTCATGACAGTGCTTATATCTATTTGTTCACAGAACTTTTGAACTCATTAGTATTTCCCAATATACCACTAATCCTCATCAAATTTGCTTTTAATCTTCGTAATTTTATTACACTTGAAAATCAGTCAAATGATGAAGTCATCTTCCCTCTTAGGTTTACCGAATTCAGCCCTTGTAAGATCTTCACACCGATATATTTTACAAAATGCCATCCCATTTTATTACAAAACCTCCGGGAAAAAACTGAATTAAAATGACGTAACAGTTTGATTTCCAAACAATTTACGACTCTCCGACGAATAATCCACTCACTAAATTCCAAGTATATTAATATTTAAAATTAACCAAATTTATTATATGTATGTTTTTCAGATGACGAAAACGAACTTCGCTTAAGTTCGTGAAAGAAACAAACAAGTCAGTAGGTCACTCAATGAATCAATAACGCATTTCTTAATCAAAGCCAAATTATCCCAATCATGAGCAATCATATCTTTTTGACGCTTTTCAGCCCTAGTTTACTAAGATAGAAAAGTCGCACAGTTTACTATTGATTAGCTGAAGAACCATCGAAAACTAAGAAGTTCAAGATAGTTGCTTCGATCTAGTAAAGTACTTCTTAGTCGTTTACACCCATAAACTCAACAAGATCCGAACTCGTAGCATTTAGGAGTGGTAGTGTGCCACCCTTTAAAGTGAGAATTATGTGGCCTACATTTCTTACTTCAGTAAATTCATGGTATAACATGATGATCATCCTATATCATCGATAAAACCTGTCTCCCTCCAAATACGGTTGAACTCACCAGTTTCGACTTCCTACTTATAAAACCTTTGGGAATTTATCTCAGTTAGTTATTAATGACCACAAAGTCAAGCCTATAACGTGGTCTTTACTACAATAAAAAGCTTTATCAGAGATTAGGAAAGAGCAACATATTGCCATTCTGCAGTTCGTGATTCGCATTCCCATAAGAATCAGAAACCGCATATAAACTTTTTGTGTTGATGAAACAGTCACGGGAGATCCCGAAGATCTGAACAGCCTATTCGACGAAGGAGGTAAGTGATGGCTACTCAAGAGACAGTATATTTGACTTTAGGTCCTAAATAATTAGAAATCAAAGGGAAGACTACTAGCCAGATGAATAGTTTTTCATGTGATAAAATAATATGCTCATATACAGAACAAGAACACAAAATGAACATGTAGAATGTTATAGGCGATTAGAAGGAATCAGTTTTTAGGTCATTCCTTCTCCGATCGATTAAAACCTGGCTGTTAAGCCTAATCTTTGAAAATCGTATTATTATTAGATACAGGAATATTATTTACTAATTAATGATACTGATAAGTTGTTTAAATTAAATAGTGATTCGATCGCTGAACTACTGCTTCATAGCTTTAACACTGAAAAATCATTTCTATAAAAATATAATAACTTACAATCTGAAGCTGTTATACGAGACTCATTTACATGTAAGGAACGAACAGAATCAAACCAAAGAGCTGGATAATTTTCCCGAACATTTTCATCTGTTAAATATTTATTATAATCGCTTAAAGTTAATATTGGAGAACAACTGAATTTATGAGTTGTTTTAGGGTTGATAATAGACTGACTATTGGATTGCAGTAAGACTGCAGAATAAAATATTTCACATGAATGAGAGCCTAATTCATAAGCAGATGATTTAAAATTAGTATGAAATCCAAGTGATATGAACTTTGGCCGAGCCTTATCTAACTACATAAAAAATTAACATCAAGAAATAGACAACTGTACATTAATCATTTACAAACAGTATTATATATAAATATATACATTTATAGCCATAAAAGTAAATAACAGTTTAACAGATTTGCGCACACTATTCATTAATGAACAAGACTTTGGGAAAAATATAACTGATGAAGTAAATTGTTAGTGCCAAAATATTTTCATTATCAATAGTAACTGCTACAGACCTCCTGTACGGCTGAGATATTTACAATTGATTGAGTAGTGACCAGTGATACTTTCTTCTAGACCTTAGTACTACTGATTGATCAATGTCTTTCAAATTGTAATGTAATCATTAGTCTAAGTGACTCGGTATCGCGTGCATTATAGTTTGATGAGACTTAGGCGAGAAGAACTCAGTTGTAAATACCTCGGTCATACAGGAGGCTAGCCACAGCCTGAATAGCCCCATGGTATCGTATAAGAATATGAAGTTGAGTGACGCTGTTTCGACTCTCAAATGGAGTATCAGTTCCTTAGAGATTACAGGCACGCTTTCTTAATGACTGTTCAATTAAAATAGTAAATAAGTCAAGAGTTTCTTGTCAAATATCTAGCATCACAATATAGTTTAAGAAATGTCGATTGACTTAGACTACTTGCAACATGTAAATTCGATCACTGTTCAAGAACTATATGAAAATCCAATTGGCCAGTACTAATTAATGATCAATCAGTTATTATTTACATCGTTTAACATATTAACACAGGAAATAAAAGAATGTTCAACAAGTGAATTAGAAATACATAATAAGTGTTAAGACGATGGTGATAATAGTATTAAGCTTAAAAACTTTTACCTGTTTATCTTATAAACACACAACATTTTAGTTCAATAAAATTTTCAAAAGGATTAGAATGGATGAGATTTGTTTAACAATAATTATCACATTCTATATACACAGCATAAATGTAACACTGGTAAATGCCTATCAACGAATATTGTCCAATTAAACTAAGCATCTTTGGAATTATTCAAACCTTATTTTCCTATTCCCAGAAGAAAATTAACTAAAATAAAAGACGATGATTCATAACACTGAAAATCATTGACATTGATCTCTCGTAACATACAAACATACAGAGACTGTAATCTAGATTATGATTTTAGCTAAAATTTGATATGCAAACATTTTTCAGAAAAACGCTTTCACAAAGCAGTAAGTCAAAGGAATATATATATATATATATATATATATATATATATATATATATATATATATTCAGATTATGTATGTATTAGATGATTATTAAATGACTAGGAAACTAACGGACTGTCAAAGAGGAACACAGAAATGTAAGTCATCTGTAGGGAAATATATCACTTTTTACGGCATATAAACCGTGTAATCAGATTTGGCCTGTACTCATGAGACACATAATTTGAATTATTATGAACTGTAATTACATACAGAATACAATCAACTTGTTAGGTTCAACCCATTTCCATTAACATAGTCAAAATATAAACCTAATAAGTGACAGAGCTTTTACACTGAATACGTAATTAATGATTTTAAATTTTTGCAATATATTAATGTATATGGAAAAAAAACAATTAATCAATTCAAGAACTTACACAGTCATCATACACAGCACAAGTATTCGACGATGAAGAATGTAAATTGTCTGTCATACATGAGTTGTTCTTATCTAATGAGGAACTGTAAAAAGAATCATGTTTTGAATGGGCTGAATACTCCGACTGACCACAGCAGCACATACATCCTATAGGATAACAATTGAATCCACGAATTCCAAGTTGAACAAGATTAAAATATATATCACGAATCGTAGTCTGAAAAGCAATATCCTAAAAAAGAAAAATATAAAAGACGGAATTGTTAAGAATAAATTAAGCTTCAACTTAGGAAGAATCATCAAATTTCCCCGTTTCGGTTTTTCACACACACCAGCCCTCAAATACCCTGGTACGGCCGAGGGTGGGGAGAGTCAGCTCTCCCCCTCGAAATGCTCCCACATGGCCACGTGCATACAACCACTGCCAGGGAAGTCCTACATATCGTACATAATATGTAATCTGTTGACTAAGTGATTCTAAACGAGACATGTACACACATTGTTATAATAACATGTCTAGTATTTCTTAAAAAAATTAAAATTCATCATTTGAAAATCAAAACTACTTTACTCATACACAGTAGTGGGTTCAAGCTATGTTTGCAATTTTTATTAATCGGTATTCCTACGAAACAACTTGTACAGATCAACAATGTAGAATTCACAGCTACTCCTACTATTATATTGAAAGTATACAAATAGTATTGGAGGGAAAAATAAAAGTTGATAAGAGAGACAAGTAAAATTAAATAATGAAAGACAGTATTTAGTCTTTGTATTTAGGGAGAATGAGAAATGAATGCGTTCAGGTCACCACCTAAATTCTTCTAACAATAACTATAGTTACTTCTCAGACTGAAAGTTGAGAGCTTGTATGCGTCGGCAATCACAGTAAATACCCTAAAATGATTAGTGGCATGAATTGCCCATCTGTTACTAACTATATTGGCATGCACTGATTATCGTATGGTTGTTAATCAGTTACATTAGTATTGTGTAAGATTGTACGCCTAAAATTAAATACACAACTACCACACATAGTAATAAAATACCCGACGTGGTACAGATTCTCCATGTTTACATTCATTTAAATCATAATATTATCCATGTTGAGCACTCGATTCATTATATACCACTACCCCATTACATTAATAGAATCCAGTTATGCATACGAATATTAGATCACATTGAGTATTCTCAGCTAATTAAATCAAATGACTTAATTCTGTTTAAGTTGGTCTGAATGAGCTATATATGTGTAGCATAGTTAGCGAGACCTAAAAAGAAAGATCGAATTTGACTAACAGTTAAGTTAATAAATACTGAATTTTATTATTGTTAGAATAATTTGAACAAATCAAAAATTGTATAGTGAACGATCAAGACACAAATCACTTTATTTTATTTAAACACATAAGCATTTGTAAGAATGGGCTGATCATTTGATTTGTGTGAGGGATAGGATACTGTCGTGGTGCCAAAACCGAAGCAGGTGGTTTTCGTAGGGGGATACTCCCGAGCCTTTCAACTAGAGGTCTAATCCACAATGCAGTGAAGCAACGTTAGGAGATGCAGTCCCATGGTAGCCGGTGACCAACAATAGGTTCATACGCCTTATGTTCCCTTTGGTTCCTGGAGCCCATGTGCACAATCGGTTTGGGATTAGGGTTTTACAACTCCCCTATGTGGATCCTCCGTACTCACCAACCAGGTCAAAGCGTCGGATATTCACTTTTTGTCCTCTCAATTTCGTAAACAACAGCCTTGCCGCGATAAGGCAGTGAGTAAGACTCCAAATAAGAATTCTTCCAAACGCTCACGTCAACGCGTGTATACAATATTTATGTTTCGGTGTAATTAAGAATAAAATATTTCATAATTATAATACGCATGACATAAAAAATATTTGTTAGTTAATGAAATAATGTCACTGCTTTTATAAAACGTAGCTTACAGTAAACTCGAACTTTATGCCCGGTCCAGAATGTTGAAAGTGACGTTTGACACAACGTGATCTGACGCTGGAATTTGAAGATGAACAGGCGAATCCTTTGGGACAAGGTAACTGAAGGTTTTAGAAGGAAAACATGTGAAAAAATATTTTCACAAAATCGATTTGCATGAATAAGTAGTCGTTTTATTCTTCGTAACAACGACCTTAGCATTACAACATTGTTAATTAGATAACAAAGCAGGTAGTATTTATTAGCATATGAACAATGAGTTACCATCATAAAAACAAAATGTGCAGTTTCGAAATATACACTTTGAAATATCACATAATTGACTTCACTATGATTTGATTAAAACTTTGCTTTTTTCATTCGCTAAATTTTCATGATATTCCGTGTGTATATAGAGTGACACTGGATTCTTGCTTCTTTATTAAACGAAAAGCCTATTGCATGTAATGAGCACTAAAATTTAGTTCTTTGCGATACACTATTTGTCATGATCAATAGGTTCATGCTAAACTTATTTATTGTCAGCCCATCAATCAGAAAAAACAACAACGTAAGTCATATTACTTTAAACTCACTAATTACGTAGTTATATAGTTTAAGATAACAGAACACAATGCACCAGTACAACAAATCGCGTTGCGTGTATAGATAATTTAATAATTACTCTTCCTCAAAGATAGGAAACGCGCAACACTTTCATAGCTTTTACTAGCTTTGACAGGGTCATGGTTCTGGATTAACTGCTTACGGAACTATGTACTAAGAAAGGCAGAAAAGTTGTGTTTTATTTAGTTGACTTTATAAACCCGAAATAATGCTAATTTTGAAGTAACATTGGTTCTATGTTTTGATCTAATAGAATGAAACTTATGCATCTTCATACTTTCGAATTTGCGAAAACCAGCTGACAACCTCTTTATTGCAAAGGACAAAAGAACTAAAATGGCTTAATCCTGTTCAGATGTTATTTGAGTGCGTGAAATACTGCTTTGTCAACAACATGGTGCTTATTAATCCGCCCTTAATTTCCTTCCAACCTACTCCTACACCAGCCAACATAATGTGTTGAAACACGAGGCGGTTTGTCACATAGAACTCACGAACCAACCACAGTTGATGAAAATTAACAGCCTCACCAACCGATCTGGCATACTTTCCTAGTACCCAATGTCTAACTCCATCAGTCCTTTGCCATAGAGTGAGATTACCAGCGGTTCAGCTAAGTCAGATGGGATTACATTCAGCTCCCTGACTTAACTTCGTATTTCAGTTAACGTGATTGATAAAACTGGACGATAACCCTTGAAGATTGGTGTTAAATTGTCAGGATTTTATACTCACCCTCGCTTCAAGTCAGACATAGACTAAGTACAGTTATAATAGATGGTTACCGTTATCTATCAACTAGGCTGGAACGGCAAAAGACCTGCCTAGGTCTTTCTGATTGATACAACCTAAATGGATGGATGTTGATATTTCTCATATACCGTTAGTCATCTCATCAACTAAAAACAAACAGTAACACTTTGATTAGGCATATTTTGAACATACATAACCTTTTAAATAGCAATACACATCCCTTTCAGGAGAAAACATTTTGGGAAGTACAGTAAACGTCCTTATAAATAACTTCTGCTGTGAACATTTGGATACATGCAACAAAGTTGTCTTTTACATTCACAAAATTTGGTTGTAATATGTATGTAACTTCTACTCAGTAACAATGATATCTAAGTTTTTTAAAGTGAATAGCTAACGGCTCATTCACCCATAATATCAGCATTATATTTTTTCCTCTTAAGTATTCCACTCTCAACATCCCATCATCTACCGACCAACGAAATAATTTAGGCATAGTATATTTCAAGATGTGCAACATAAGAAACACTACCGATCTCAGGAATTCTATCTATTAATTTAAATAAATGGGAACATTGATAACCAATATTTTATCATAAAGTAACCATCATGAAAATGGCGTAACTTTAGACCAATATGTAGAGCAGAGTCTTGGAGATCGAAGAACTTGACTTTAAAAACTGGACTGAATGGTCGAAGCGAATAAATAAAACCGTATTTGATGACCGAGTTTCAATATAAAATTTGTGATTCGAAATGGATTTGAAGACATTAGTAGTTTACAAATATTTAACAAATAAGAATTTTAAGCAATTCAAGTAACAGACCTGATAAAACGGAAAAAACTTTTCGTAATAATAAACGATGATTCAAAATTTAGTTTGTTATTAAATAGATTATGTGAACTATCTTAAAACTTAAACTTACAGAAATATGCAAGTCAATTTCGTCGACAAAAATTCCAATCACGAACACAGGCACTAACGGGACGGACCGTCGGAGACGACGAATTCTCCGACGTCTCAGATACAAATATTCTTCTTTATTCGCCCCATTATATTCCAGTTGAAAATTACCATTGGTTGTGTTCTCGGAAGGATGTGGACCTGATATACAAGTGGCATAATGAGTGTTTAAAACAGGAACTAATGAAGGACTCTCACTAGAATCACGAGTAGTTGGCAAAGATGAGACAACCTCATGTTCAGATGCATCTTCTAAGATGCATTGTATTAGTTCTTTTACACAGTCAGTATCTGAATACTGTTCTTTTAAGTTACTATCTGCGTATTCACCATCTGACTCATCCGAATCTTCCGTAACTGGAATAATGCTGGGTACAAATGACCAAACCCAAGAAGCCCAAGACTGCCTCTCTACATCTGTACTGTTTGATTTGTCCTTCGATTCCCCAGCTTGCATATTAAAACTTTCTTCAACAACTACTTCACTTTGTGTGTCGTTATCTGAACAGTCTACGATAGACCAGTCAAACGTTTCTGTACTAATACACGAAATTACTTCTATAAGACGACATAACAAAGGAATTTGAACTGGACTTATATGTGCAGAAAATGTTTCACAATGTATTTTTAGATTTGTGAGAAGAGTTTGATGAACTGCTGATGAACTAGCATTAGGTGTACAAACTATTTGGATGAAACATGACATGCTAAATCTATAAGCGATTGGATCTTCATAAACTTCCACATAACCATTACGTCCAGCACGATCAAGACATACAGTAAGATCGAAAAATTGAACTAAACGATTTATTACATTAGTAGAACGAGGGTTGATATCAGAGAAGATAGGATTGCCATTGAAATCAGTAACAAAACAATCGGCTTTGTTTAAGCTTAAAGATAATGCCAAATCTTCTTCGATAAACTTCAAGTTCAAATTATGCACAACAAAATGAATATTAGAAAGTAAACGATAGATGTAAACTTCCAAGTACCCAGGTGGAACATTCGTAGGCATAGATTGATTTTTACACGCACACAGATCTACGAAATCAGTTGGATTTTGCTCATTTCGATTCCCTTTGTTGAGATTGGGTTTCTTTAGGCCAAATGTACATTCCACAGTGTTTAAAGTAATAACAATACACTCAGAATTCAATTTAGTCCATGGTACATGAATTCGTAACTCATGAACACAACCTGATCGGAAATTCACTGGAAATGGAATAATATCTTCTAAAAAATCCAATCGTAAATCAAGCTGGGTGAGTATAAGATCACCATCCCATATAGACATTGAAAACTGGTCATCATGCAATTTAACATACTTGTTAAGGTAACTCATTAACAACTTTCCTATATATGTTTCTAATCTAAAATATCTTTGCATTTTGAAATCCTTCTTTAGACAGTACACCAATGGGAAATCAGTTAGAAGTCAACATTATTCAATCTACAAAGAAAAACAAATAAGAATTTTGGCATAAAATAAACACAAAAAACGAATTGCAGTAGATATAAAAAGGAGTCAATTAACAACCGAGGAAAAAAAACAAATTTAATATACAAATGTAGATTACTAGTATAGAAAATGAAATTTATTTGCTAAGAAATGGTTTATGTACCCAGCTTCAAGACAAATTTTTATTGTATTACGGGTCATATTATTCAACTACTCAAACTAATATGGGTGAAGCGGAGCTTAAAGATGTGAATTAATAGTTATTAGCCAAACAGTTCAATTATTAGGCTATTGGTAGCTGATGGACGCAACTCAAGAGTACAACAACTGAAATAAAATCCAAATTCACTTGACCTTCCTTTTAATGGATTTTAGTAGTTTTCATAAAAAATTTAAAATACAAATTGAAATATCTATATAATTATGATTTTCATTATTTAGCTTATATTTTGGTAATATAGCTCTTTTCCCACAATCTAAACTGATTTTACTTTCCGACCGCTGTAAATAATTAGATCCGTTTCGTGTACTACAATGAGCACGTTAAACTAGCAATAACTCGAACAAGTTCAAACAGTACAAAATGAGTGATTGTGTATTAACAGGAGCAACTATTCCTATAATGTAAAAACTTAGTGATTTTGAGTTCACAGAACGACATATTATACATATTAAGATACCATTAGATGCTTTTTCTGGAATAAACAAACACGTCGCTTACTTGTCATCAGATTAACAATCATATCCTACTCTTCTAACAACGTTGAAATGATTAATAGAAAACACGACCTTAATTCGCTGATATAAGTTAAGAAAACATTTTATCTTTGATTCTACAAGCATCCAAAAGATTCTTATGACCAATCGACATCATCTAACATGGAAATATTTCAGTGTTCAACTGAAATCCCGGAGAACAAATAAGCACGATTATCATCAGTTCTGTGGAAATACATACCTATTTTCATTGGCAATTGAGATTATTGTGTCTGCCGTTATATATGCGAGAGTAATACCATACCATATTAAGCATATATTGAACGATAATGGATTAAATTTTTTTACAAACACTAAGATATACTACACGTTGTTGATTTACAGCATAAAAGGAAACGAAGCCTAATAACTGGATGAATAACCATACAGAATTCTAGTATACGTAAAGATGTTTCCCAACATTAAATGATGATTGATTATCTGACGAATAAAACGTTTAAGCTACTTGAATAAACTAAGCTCCATGAATGTGTAGGGTATAATTGGTACACTATTTTGAAGAATTTCTGTCCGAAACTACCAAGGTTAGGATAAAGTTGAAAATTCTATGTGGATAGTCATGGAAAGAGAGATGAAACTTTGCCTTTCCCAAGCAGCCCCCAAATGCCCTGGTATGGCCGAGAGTGGGAAGAGTCCGCTCCCCCTCTCCAAATGCTCTCAAATGGCCACGCCTATATAGTCTCTGCCAGGGAAGTCCTACTCACTGCCTTCTCATGGCGGGGGTGTTGTTTACGAAAATGAGAGGACGAAAAGCGAATGTCCGGATCTTTAACCGGATCCCAAACCAGTGGTGCACATTGGCCCCAGTATCCTGAAGGAACAGATGGCGTATGAACCAATCGTTGGTCACCGGCTACCATGGGACTGCATCTCTTTACGATGCTCCACTGTCTTGTGGATAAGATCATCAGGTCGAAGGCTCGGAGTGTGCCCCAATAAGAAAACCACCCGCTTCGGTTTGGGCACCCGGCAGGTATCACAGCCCTCCCACATCAAGTGAGATCTGTGTGGCGCATATGTATTTGGTGCCTCCCTGTACCAATATCTATGTGTTAAAATAAATAAATAAATAATTTCCCAAACAACGCCAAAACACAGTAGGGTATCTCATCGTTAATTACATCTTAAACAGACATGAAAAGTAAAAAAGGACTTCAAGTAACACCAGCAACACATGTTCAAGCTAATTGTTTGCAATAGAACCATTTGAATACAAACCTGAGCATTGGTCCGTCAAACCTGACCGCTAGATAGGCATATTTGACTTTTATTATTTTATTAGTAGTGAGACGAAAACGTACTTTTTCAACATCGCAACATACGTAGGGCGCGGGTAAAACCATTAATTGTCCCGCATTTGATAATCAGAAGAATACAGACCCCAAACAACGTAAGGATGTCACTGCTTATAACAAATAAATTTCAGTGTACTAACAGGGGATTCAGAGCCGCTATCATATACACTACCATAAATGGAATCACAAGTACATGATAGTAATAATTTGGCTCAAGTAAAAACTGACAACTTTTACCCCAAATTTTGTGTAAACGACGATAAGCTGATACCTGGGAACTCATCAATTCAGAAATATTTTGTTTGCACTAACCACCTCTGCCTTTTAGGCAAAAAAAGGTGACTAACTAGTAGCTCCCAAATCTTGATTAAAATTAGTCTATTTTGACTTTGAATTGCAAGTTGAAACAGTGACTACAACGTTTGAAACTAGTACGAAAGCTGATGTAAACAATCTTCACGCATACAACATTAACAGAAATCGGATAATTAGCACTACATCATTAATTATTTTAACTTTGGAATAAGTTGGACAGACAAAGGAAAATTTCAGATGATAGACTAGATTGCATCTGCTACGAAGTTGTGCTATTATAACATACAAAATACCAGTCACAATTTATTATATCTTACCATGCAGTTAAAACCTTGGTTAATAAGCTTGATGTCCTTGACCGTCATGACTGTTACTTGAGACTTTAAACCTATTTAGGGGTCTTGGTTACACGATACTTCTAGGCGTCAAATAAACCGACGATTAACTTATGATTAACTAATCTGAATTCCTACATTTCAGGTTTTTGACATACTGTATGACTTACTGAATGGAGAAGTTATTAACTATCAATCCATACGTTCTACGTTTTTCTCACATACTTCAATCCTAATTTTTTAACTTTAAAAAGGCTTTGAAGTTTGTGTTTTACCAACTAAAACCCATTTCCTTGAAGTGTTCGAGACAAAGTGAGTACATATTAAAACTAGATTACGTGACGAAAAGCCTAAAGAAATCAAAAGCTGAATAACTAAACAAGGAAACATGACCAGAATACAGTGAAAAAGAGCAAAATAGTGAATGAGAGACCGCTCTAAACTATATAACCTCAGGATTTTCGATTTCTATGTTAAGTATAACCTTATTCAGCCTAAAATTTACGTAACTTTCACTTCCAGACAGCACGGACCAACCCTTAAACTGTCGCTTTCATAACAAACCAAATGCTAATAAGTGTAATTATCCGGAATTATGGGATATAAATTTACTAGTTGTTGTGTTAAGTTTCTAAATTCTTCAACTTTATTATATCTACGATTGCACGAAATAAACGTCACTCAATTTAGATAAAATTGTCTATTTTTCTTTGCCGTTGTAAAATTAATAACAACGATGAGCCTGACAACACCCCTTAGCCACGTAGCGTGACAAGCGAAATATGCGGTTGTGGTTTCAAGGTTATTGCAACACATACAAGATTTGCAACATTATATCGTAAAACAACTGACTCCTTTGTACTACCGGTCTATATACACATTTCCTACATCACTGAAATATTGAGATTGTCACTGATGTATAATGTATAGCATTACTATATCAACTGAAGTCGTTTGTTTGAAGATAAATATTATCTTACATTCGCCAAAACAGTCTTGAACTACATCGAATATCTATAAAATAAGTAAAAGACATTACAATCATTATAACCAAATTACCAGAAAAAGTAGCATGAACAGGAAAAAGATATAATGACAATTAGCATGAGTAGTCTGTGGAGGCATAAAATTATTCATTCCTAGTCTTTCGTGATCATTAAGCACACTGTCTAATTCAATACAGCTTCCGAAAAGCCTGTTCAGTGTTAGACGTTGGAACGCCTTCCTTACGCCTACTGAGTACTAAAAAGAGCACCATGTGATTATAAATCAGAACACAATAGAAAAAATTTATTGATGCATCACTACTAATCTCATAAGGAGTATAATAACTCATGCGAAAAAAGCAAGTTCACATGTTGCATAGATAGTTAAACTAGAAGTGCAACCACAAAAAACTTCTTGTGGTAAACAGTTCTCCTAACATCTCCACACTTTCTTATATTCCGATCCGTGTTTTCTGTCGTAAAGAAGACTAAACAATGATAAGCGTTTGAGAAACTGGCGTCCTACTCCATTATTGATGCTTTTTTAGCAAAAATTGTCGACTTTTCTCTCCACTAGCAACTCAAAGCGCTCACTATATCTCCCAGAAACCTGTTGTTTGTGCAGCTTTTGCCTTTGTTGAATATGTGTAATGGTATTGGTCGTGACCACAATCCTCAAACCCGGACATGAGACAACTGGGAAAATAGACTCCCAAAAATGGTCAATCATGGTGAACGTAAGAACATTCATTCAATTCAATTCATTGGATGACATGGCTCAGCCTTGTGTAACACATCTCTTTTATTCATATTAAATATATTGTTCTGTCTCCAGCCCAAATGTGTTCTCCATCATATATTGGTGATGATTACGTCGTCACGAGGCAGTGTACACAATGATGTGACTTCCACGTAATATGTTATAGATTAGGTAGTCACATCATGACAAATCTACAATTTTAGTATAAGATCTATTATTAGAGCAGTACTAATGACGAAGTAGACCATAATTCTACATATGTACATGCTGTTCGCTTCGCCTGAAGAATGGAATTGCCATGTTATTATAGAACGGCCCGAAATATACTTATATTCACTTACCTGTGGAGAGTTGATCTTTCTTGGTTCTCACATCAGCAGCAGTGGCCTGAGCACAAGCTCGATCCTTAATACTTTTTACTACTTCATCTACCGATGGTGATTGCAGTATCACCGGCCAAAAACTCTATTTTATGAGGATTGTCTTCTGGTCCATGGGTCACAAACCATCCATGAGCTACTACAAAGACGATTGAGGAGCATCCTGAATGATCGTAAAACACATTTTTCATCGTCCAAAGTGTCATCGAACGTTGATTGTTAATTAAGAAACCTAGACCTTAAACGTCACACAATACTTAAAGTCCTCATGGTTTTCGATTCATTGTTAGAACTTGTAGTTTACGTTTACGACCAATTTTGCATTAAAACACCACAACCACATATCTAAACATTATGTCCTTC